GTTATTCTATTTTCTGCTCCAGAAAACTTCAGTCCGAAAATTTCAGAGGATTAATTTTCTCCTATGGCAAGCAGAGGTAAGTTGATGAATAAACGAGGCCCCGAGACTAAGTCCTGAGAAACGGTGTTAGTCATGGAGGTGGATCTTAACGGGTTCAGTAGGATACGATTGAAATCAGTCCACATCTAAAGGAGAGAATGTTTTTACTTACAACTGGCTACAATTGAGTCTGGATCAAGAGTGATGTTGAAGGGGTTATCGGGACTAATCGCAGCTTCGACCAATACTTCTGTGACCACGTCTGCTGCGGGGATAGCTTCTGCTGGTGCCGACACGTTGAACTGCAGTTCCACATCGACTTGCGTGTTTCCCCTTTCTGGCCTTGAATGTCAAGAGTGCAGGATTTAGTTCAAATGTCGTCGGCGTCATTGGTGGGATTTGGGTCAAGGTTTCTAAATCTTACCGAAATCCAAGAACAACAGTGCCAAAGAAAATGGAACCAAACGTTTGGAAGAAGATGAAGTCGCACTGTCAAAGGATGGAAACGTAGAACAACAGAGTAACTTTCGTGAAAGAAGCAAAAATTCCGATCGTTGAAACGTCGCTTGAACCCACCATTGACACCACTTGTGTTTCAAGTTCTCTGTATTGTTCGCTGCTAGGATCGTTCAAGGCTTCCACAAAAGGTTCCAACACAGTGGCTTCAACAAACACAGACGGTGGCCCAACTGAGATGGTAGTTGTTTCGGGTCCACGAGTTGTTGATGATTTAGGTGCTGGGAATAACATATGGTGCACCAAGGAAGTAGTTAGTTTTGATGCTGTTGAGATTTGGAGTTCCATGAAAGAATTTTAAAAAATCTTTGCTTACAAATGACTGCAATATATCCTGGAACAAGAGTGAATCTGAACGGGTTGCTGGTCCTGTTCACAACATCTACCAATGTGTTCACAACTTCATCGTTTTGTGGGATTTGATCATGTGATGTGTTGTTGAACTTCAACTCCACTTCCACTTGCGTGTTTCCCTTTTGAGGACTTAAAAGTTGAACAAAAATGCTGATTATTTGAAATGTTCCCCATCTGAAATTAGCCATAAAACATTACCTAAATCCAATGAAGTTGGTTTTTATGAAATTACTCCGAAATGCTCTGATGTAAATGAAGTTGCACTGTAAGAATAATCAAAAATTTAATCATTCAGAATTCAGAAATTGAGATTAGTTTATTGTTAATGGATACTCACCATTGACACCACTTGCGCTTCAAGACGTTTATGTTGTTCACTGCTACGATTGTTCAACTCTTCCATGTAAGATTCCGCCAGAGTCATCACAAGAGGCACATTGACGGTTGTTCCGTTTTTAGTTCCAACATTTTCGCCAAAAGTAATGCCAAATGCCACAGTCCCTATGGTTTGATAGTCATGGGTTATACTTCTGAAGTCATTCGCTTGTCACACAAGAGTTGAATTTATTTTTTTTTTTTAACTCACCCAGAAGGACTGCAACAGTCCCGGCACCCATAGCCTCTCTCTTGCTCCTGCTAAATCATTCAGGAACAGATTCACTTTCAACAGTAGCAAGCAGCAAGAATCTTTCAGAATATATGTATATTTTTTTAGACATTTACTATTTTTCCCCATAAAGATTCTCTCAATGTACAAATAATCTATCTTTTTAAAATCTTATCACTATTTTCAGAAAGTGTTAAAATTTCTTTACTGGAGTAGAAATTACAAAAAAATTCTAAATTTATTAAAAGCTCTATTTAAAAAAAACTAAATTCATTTAAAAAAATTTACTCAAGAAAATTGTTGACCAGAAGCAAACCTTAAAATAACGAAGAAAAAAAAGATCTCAAAATTCCTGAAAAATTCTTAAAAGTTGCTTCAAAAAAATATCAATCCACAAACTTCTCATCGTTAATTTTACTCAAAATTAAGTCAGCCTAAACCTCATCACAGTCGTCACAAAAAAGATTTATTCAACATCATTTCTTTTTTTCTGTCAAATATACAATACACGCTCAGCATGTCGCATTTGTAATCCAAAATATATTATTTTTTAAAATGTGAATAACAATACATAATGATCAAAACACATTCCACACATGACAATGAAACCAAGGAATGGCCCTCTTTTTCGTGTATCACCAATAATTCCATTGACACATTTGTGATGTTTCAAACAGAAAGTGGTTCTTTCACATTGAACCATTAAAGGCTCAACTTACCCCAAGTGGAAGAGAGTCAAATGAGTCCTTTTTTGAGATGAATGCTGTTCAGGTGGACGATGCCGCAGAGCCGTCGGACCTTTTGTGGCTCGCCTTGTGGACATGAAAGCCTTTTATCAAGTTATGCAGCGGCCATGAGACATCTTTCAGAAATGTCCCTCATAATCCGCCAACAATATGCAGCCATCATCATGACAGCATCTTGGCTCGCTGCACTGTGGAGTCCTCCCTGCCTTTTGTTCGGCAATAAAATTTAAAACAACTCCTCGAGATCACCCATCAATCAAAATGCCACTTTGATGATGAGGCTATTTACTGACGCGAATTCAGGCCTGAAAGGTGTTTGAATATGACACGTGACAAAAAAAAAAGAAACAAAACGAATGCTTCTGAAAAACAATGAAAACGAATCTCGTGGCGAGCACTATTTTACCAATATACTACTATATTTTGGTGACACGGTGTATAACTGGTCAGAATGTCTGCCTCACAATGCAGAAGTCACGGGTTCGATTCCCACCCCCTGCCTTCTTCTGTGGAGTTTGCATGTTCTCCTTGTGCCAAGGGTGGGTTTTCTCCGGTTACTCCGGTTTCCCTCCAACATTCTCCCTCACTCTGGTATGGGGAAGCGACATATTTAGCCTCAACAACACATGACTCGAACAGAGCGGGATTCAAACAGTGGACCCTTCGGTTACAGGTCAACCCGCCATACCTCCCGCCCCACATAGAATGACGCTTGTTGGATTTTACTTCCAATGTGTACCTTCCTGTGCTTCAAAAGCCAATCACAAACACATCCAGTAACATGTGTGCAACACTATTCGCCTGTCTGTGACAACTGTAACAAAGTAGCAGGTGGAAGTGTACCTCCCATGTCCCATTTCGGTGTATTGATGGGGAAATGGAGCATCATTGTAAAATTTGATAAATATCTGGTGTTCTCATTTTTGTGTCTAGTTTTGTATTTGCCAAAACGGCACACCCGCAATTTCCGTGGTTAATTTTAATGTATTGCATTTATTTCGTGATGGGAAAATGAAGCTTCAAATTTGCTTCATGAACCAGTTGTATTTTTTTGACTCCTCAAGTTAGCACTGTTGGTTTAAATAAAGACTTCTTAAAGACTTTAAAAAATGGCAAGTTAGTGTGCTTTCAACCCAATGTTAAACAGAAAGTGTCATCTAGAGGAATAAAACTACAACATCTGGTTCATATAGCAAATTTGAAGCTTCATTTTCCCCCAATTTTTTTTTTAAATACAGTAAAATACCGCTCTACCATCAGAAATTTGCAGTAGTCCATAATTTTATGCTGTTAAATTAGTTAGCTACAGTTCTTGTTAACTGACTGATGTAACTTTTAATTTAAATGCTTTGGATAAATATTTAACACTATTTTACAAGTATTAATAGAAAACAGTAAGATACTGTTGTAAATTCACGGTAAATTTCCTGAATTTTGTTACAGTGCATACAACTTTTTTTTTACAGTGGACACAGAGAAATTTTATGAGGAAAACAAATTCAGAATTTAACAAGAGAAACGTCATTTTAGAAGAATCGAGCTGAGGTAATGCAGTTTTATTTATATCACACATTTCATACACGAGGCACCTCAATGGTCTTCACACAATCAAAAGTACAATCAAAAGCATTCAGAAAGAAAACAGTGCGATGTTCAAAGGCAAAGAAACAAAAAGTAGCCGACCAAAATGAGCAGGAAAACTTGTAGTCACGTGTACAAGCATTTACAAACAAGAATCAAAATAAAAGCAAAGAAAGTGAAAGTGATTTTAAAATGCTTCAAAAGAACTGAATCATAGCTAGGGGTCGGGGGGGCATCATTTATAACCTGGATAAAAGCAATCAAATCGGAATATTGTGTGAAAAACTGAAAAAATGGAGAAACATTATCACAAAAATAAATAAACTTGAGTGTACCACATGGAAATGTGGAGGGACGTGTATTTGACGGAACTTAGCTTACATAACGCAGAAAAAAATCGACGCTTCGCTTCTGTCAGTTTGACCGCCAATTCCTTACGCGGTTTATTTTGTTTTCCCGCAAGTTCAACCAGTTCACTCGCAATCCACCGTCTTAAATGTTTTCAAAACAATCTGCGAGGATATATTCAACTGCGTGTGGAAGGAATGTCAAGTGAAATTCTGATAGGTCACAATAGTGTATCAGTATTTTGGGCCACACCTCATTCTGACTGAAGCTCGGAGCAATCTGCTGCAGTCCAACGTCATTGCGAACGTGCAGATGAATTTTGGTGGCAATATCGCACCATTTTCAGACACTACGTGACAACAGAAAATGATGAGGCAAGCCAGGAAACAATATTGCAACGCTCGCCTCTGTTGTATAACACAATGACATCGTCTGCCTGATGTGTCAATCAAGCAGTTTCCTCCCAATTTTGGGGCATGACGTAGTGTGCTGAAAGTTGTCACAAAATAAAAAAACGTAAATAACTCCAGAGTTTTTCAGGGGGGTGAATTTTAGGGCCAACGTCATTTTTACATACAGGTGCCCATGTTCATCCCAATCAAGTGTCCCTTTAAACTGTTAATGCAACTAGACAAAGTGGAAAGTGAAACAGGGAGACATTTTTTTTTCCCATATCTTTAGTCCTTCCAATTTTTTTTTTCTTTCCTTCTTTCTTTTCTCCGCTTGGTCTGGACGACACGTCCTCTCTTGGACGTGGACCGACGACTGCAGGATACAAATTAAAAGTCAAGAATCAGTTACAAAATGTCAATCATAAAAACTGTCCGGAATGATTTGACTGAAATGGATTGCACATTAAAGTACCATACGAGTGAACTGGATTTAAGAAATTTAGTGTTCTGGATTAAAAAACTGAGTTTGAAGCTGCTGTAACACGATGCAAAGTGTGAGCATTTCATTTGGACTTGCCTGCTGATGTGTTTTCGAGGACAAGCTTTGCGTTTGTGCCCCGGGCTTGCGCAGTTGTAGCAACCTTCCTCGCCTTGGTGTTGGTCACACGGGTGGTCCGGGAGGGCGCAGCGGCCGCATGATTGACAGTGCTGCCATGCTTCGGGAAGGGTGGGAAGAAAGAAAAGCTCTTGGTTCAACATAGACACAAAGGCTACTCGGTCCGATTTAAAACTTTCTCTTTCACGGAAAAATCTGTTCCATTCCATACTGTTCATCTCGTTTTTGGTTTATAAAAAAAAAAAAGAAGCCCCAATATAATTTCAAACGTGCACTTACATGGTTTCACACATCGCTCACAAACAGAGCAGTGTTTCCACTGGCGTCCATCCTGTAAATTGAAAAAAATTGTACACAATTTTTAGTCACCTGCGATAATTTCCGGCAGTTTATCGTCATTGGCCAATAAAAAGCATATATCGCCATATTTGAATGAGAATATTTTTTCCCGTTTTTATCCCATAACGGGAATTCATTGTAACTAAAATTTATTTTTCATTTTAGCAACTTTTTCCTCATTGTCTTGTCTTTGACATTTTTTCCAGTGCAATTTTTTTGGTAAAATCAAGACTTTATTCTCAAGTATTCTAAATTTATTTACACTTTCATTTATTTATACTACAACGTTTTCTCATAACATTATGAGTTTTTTTTCAATATTCTCTGAGAATGTTATTTTCATTTAAAAAAAAAAGTCTAGTTTCCTCCTTTTCTTGTAATATATTTTTTATGCCCATGTAAAAATTAAGACAATATTCTCAAAAATTCAGGACTATAATCACATAGCTACGTTATCTCACAACTGGGATTCTTTTCTTGTACTATTGTAATCTTTTTATCTCACACTTTTTTCTCATTTCTTCACTCACAAGAAATTACAACTTTTATCGTTTTCTATTATATTGCTCTTGGCAGTTCACCTTGTGCAGCGTGCGCCAAACAACACGAGATAAGAAACCTTTTTTTTTTTTTTGTGATCCATGTTTTTCATTGGCGGTGACCAAAGTGATCAAGCGGTATGTTACCTTGGATGGGCAGACGTTGCATTTGGTACAGTGCTTATTCAGGGACCACACGAATCTCTCACAGATGGCGCAAAATCTAGCAAAATGAGTTGGCAAAAGCGTTGTCGTGGGTCGCAAAAACTTTCTGGAAGTTCTCTTGCCCCCAGACCCCCCCCCCCAACTTTTTGGGAGAATATGGGACTACCTGTAGCCCTCCTCCTCGGGAAGGACAATTTCCGCGGCAGTAATATTCGTGAACAATCGGACTGGGGACTGCTTCCTTCCCGTCTTCCCGTGCTTGTACAGGGAATGGTTGTCATAGTCCACCTAGGAAACCAAGTTCACAAAAAAAAAAAAAAAAAAAATGGAAAATGTCGACAGTCAAAAACATTGTAAAAAAAATAAAAAAATCACAATTAATCAAACATGAGCACTCCGGTTTCATTTTGAATGTATGTATGTGTTTTGATATATTGCTGTACGTCCGTACAATACCTACTCATCCCGACCACCCATTTTTTTTAAATCTTGCACTTGACAAATAATAGACAAAAAAAAACCTACTCAAAGCAAAGCATTTTCAAAGAAAAAAAGTAACACGTAACAAGTTGTTCTAGAAAAAAATTTAAAACCAACTGAATTTAAAAAGATAAGTTAAATGGATATATAAGTTAACTGTCCTCGTCAAGATAAGCGGCTCAGATAATGTAATGAAATGAAAAATCCAAAACGATTCTGACCCTGTTAAGCCCCAAGATTCCACAAGATGGCGGCAAAGCCCATTCTCACAATGGCCACCCTTACCTGGTAGTCCAGCATAGTTAGACAAGGGAAGCAGTCGAGGATGCGAGCTTCAAAGAAATACGGAAAGATCCATATCATGGGCATGTTGACGTTACTGCTCCCTACATGAACATAAATGGAAAAACCAGTCAACTACTTTGCCCGCATCAGAATGTTCTGGATACTGAATGAAAAGAACTGACCCAAGATTCGCTGTTTCGTCCATGCCTGGGCGATCCGAGAGAAGCTGTTGGCCAGTGGTTTCACCAGACCCCCAAACGGAGGGTCGGCCACCATCACCACCTTCTGCCCATTCGACTCTCTGAGAAATGCCTGGAGTACTGCGATCGAGGCCTAAGAACGAGCACACTTGTGACACACTCATGGCTTGGATCGATAGCAATATTTGGCGACAAATATCCACAATCCCACAGTCATTAATATCGTGAAAGTATACAATGGCGAGACTTTTATCCTTGGCGCATGCATGGGGTGGCCAAGACTATTTCAGGAGGTCCGCAAAACAAAAACTTGTAAACGCGTTATCAACAATCAACATCCATTCTAATATTGAGTAATAATAATGATAGCAACATACATTAAGCTGTAACTTCTGTTATTTCTCTTTAGACCCGCACGTATATCTTGTTCCGCCCCACATCTTTTAATTTTCTATGCACCCTATAAAAACATAAGACAGTAGTCTATTGTTACTCATAGGCTAGCATCACTTACAGTCACACAATGTTATAAAGTCTCCACTTTCCATCTAAATAAAACTACCTGCAGTGTGGCAGCTAGTTGACATGCCCTTGGAGCATACAGGGAAGGGCAACTGGTGGTGGCCCGCGGTCTGCACTTTGACTGGCCCTTTGATTAAGTCCCCCCCCCCCCCCCCCCCCCCAAAAAAAAAAAAAATTCTTCAGAGAACATGGATAAACAGCTAGCCCCACCTCCCCAGTAACTGTATACTGAATTGGTCCCACAGCTTCCTCTAATGTGTTGGGGATCATTCATTACCTCACTATCAAAGAAGTGATGATTGAACATGTTGTAGTGGCAGAACTCATCTTGGCCGTAGAACTGGGCGTATCTTAGACAGGAAGGACACGGGAGATTTTTGTCACAAATTTTTCTCAAAGCTGACGACAACATGAGACCAAAGGATTGTGAGATCATATATGCAAGCCGACCTGAAGTCGATGTCAAGCAGGAGGCTTTTCATTGGCCTTGCCTCTCCGCTCGGGTATTCCAATTTAATCAGCTCGTGCAGTCTGGAAAAAAAAAGTAGTTTTACTGCACAGTCTCATTGACTGACTCCCACATCACTCACGAGAGTAGGCCCCACATGCATTCAAAGTCACCGATGCTACAAGTGTAGAATGTGACGACGATGCCACCAAGTGGACAAAAATAAAACCTGCACCTCACACGCATGTTTTGTGTTGGTATTAAGCATCATGTTTTGTGTTGGGTTGACTGGCAATGTACCAGTGGCTCACCTGGGCGTGCCCACGCACAGCACCTTGTTGAAGCGCAGGGCAACCAGAGTGCCCAGCAGGAAGCGGGTGGTGCGCTCGGTGAACAAATACTGCGCATTGCTCTTCTTGTTGTCCAAGGGACACAGCAACCTGCTGGGGCGCCGCAGCTGGGCGGCGGCCACAGGGATGCATACGTGGGCGGCGTGTGCACCCGTCTCCTCGGCAAGCAGGAGGAGCTGGCAATCCTGACAAAACTTCTTTTCGTCAGGTGGGAGGGCGATAAACTGTTGGAACCTGCAAGGGGTGATGCGTCGTCACATTTCACGGCCGTCTGGCACAAAATGCAAATATTTGATGTTTTATTTAACCTTGACATTTACCTTGCACTATACTGCTGCTGGCTGAACGGGGGCTGCCTCCTTTTGTTCTCCAACTCCCTGGCCAATTTACGGGCCTCCGACACCTTCAAACCAAGCATTCACTGAAACTCTATAGTGATAACCTACTTGGGCATTTGCTTCGGTTTTGCATTTGTATTATGGAGCCAAGGCACAAATTACATCAGATTGACTTGCACAGGTTAATTGTACTAATCTGTCATCGAGTGGAAGAGCATTTCATTGGTCTGCCTTTCACTATACATCGCTGGCATAGATTGACGTGCCAATAATAGTAAGAATTTTTCTGGGTCAGCACTGTGTGCGACTGGTTAGTACCGTCTCACAGTGCAGTGATGCGGAGCATGATTTCAGGTCACGGCCTTCCAGCGCGGAGTTTGCATGTTCTCCCGCCGGATACTCCTTTTCCTCCCACATTCCAAAAACATGCACCAGTGGGTTAATTGAACAATCATCCCTAGGTGTGATTGTAAGCGCATGTGCTGCGAATGGTTGTTTATATATGTGTGCCTTGTGATTGGCTGGCAACCAGTTCAGGGTGTACCCCGCCCACTGTCCAAAGACAGGTGAGATTGGCTTTAGCACGCCCACGACCCTTGTGCGGGATAAACAGATTAGAAAATGGATGGATGGATAGTTTCCTGTCAAATGCCTACTTTCTCGTCTTCCCACTGGAAAAAGTTGCAGTCTTTCCGATCTCTGCAAGCCGAGCACGCGTAAAACCTCCTTCCGCCCTCGCCTCGTTTCGCAACTTTCTCAAACAACAAAGTTGGTCCTGCAAACGAAATGAAAATGTGATTGAAAAGATCTCGATTTTTATGATCGATTAGCTAGGTCTGGATTCATGTTTACCATGTGGACAACACGGCGTTGATGCGTCGTCATCTGTGAGAATAACCTCGTATCCCAAACAGCTGTCTTCCAGCCCCGCTGTATCCATGATGTGAGCGTGTAATTATCAATGAATAATATTTGTATCATATATAAAGCGAGTAAACGTGCGGGCCCATGTTATCTGGACACGTTTGAGTTTGGAAATGCTACCCGGTTTGAAAGGCGTGGCCTTTGCGTAACAAATCACGTGAGCAGAAAAGATTTCCGGTTACTCCCCTTCCCTTACGGCTACTTATTAAAACTGACACCACATTTCCCGACAATTTGACAAACATAGGTTAATAAAAGCAAATGTATGACAACATTGATATTTAGCCGGTAGTGAGTAAGTCATGAACAAGTGACTCCCGCTTCCTGTTCCTAAACATTCATTCGCCATTAGCTACTGCAGTTAGGGTATACTCTCGACATTTTTTCTTTTTTTCAAACCAGGAATTGTAGTTTACTTTTTATTCGGAAATTCGAGGAGCAACTGAGGTCGCATGTATACACACGCACACGCGCGCGGGCAAGCGAGAGATCTTCAACCGTTTTTCTTTCAGGACAGTTAAAGTTTCTGCCCCTATGCATGTAGTCCAAACACGCCGCGCGCCAAGCAAAACGAGTGGGGCTGCATTCCTTTGGAGACTACAATTCCCGTGCATTGCTGCACCGCCTTCGACAGTGTGAAATGTCAGTTAACGCCGTTCCGTCAAGGAAGTGGGAGAAGTGTCCTTTCAGCGTAAAGATTTTAGACACGGAGAAAATGTTTTTGATTCATTTATTATTTGCGTATATTTAAGATTGACCATATAATATATTTTTGTTTGATTAGTAAAATGTAAAGTTTTTGGAGGTGGATGTATTTGATAAGTACTGGAAAATACTACGCTTTTATTTCGGTAGTGCATCAAGAAAATTCTTGTCTAAAACTTGAATCTTTACATCCCATGTTTTGCAAAGTCTGTCCACGCCCTAGCTGTCTGCGTTTAGAGAGGCGTTGCCGCAGTGTCTGCGGGCCCTGATACATCAGTACCAAAAACCAGGAGTTACCAGACCTCTTGGTGGGGCCCTCCTAACGAAGAATTCCCCCACGCACTCACGTAAGGTGGTTAGTGGGCGGTGCGCCGCAGCTGCTGGCATCATTCATGCTGGGCCGGTGAGGAGAGCCTCTTTATTTACAGCGCATTATCTGACTGACACCATGAGCAGCACTGGTAAGACATTTTGACTGGAGCTAGCCCATTATATTGAAATATTGATACTATGCAAGCATGATAAATGAAGGAAATTCAATTGCTATCATTAGTACTACACTATTGCTCCTGTCAATGTGTTTGGTCCCCCCCACAATATAACTCATTTACCCTTGGGGTCTGGCGTGGGGTTCTGATGTTGCCACTGCGGATGGTGACCCCCCACCTGAAACGCGCACCCAGCAACCATCCCAAGACAAAGTACAACAGCCTAGTCCCTGTCAAGGTGTTGGTTCCCCCACAATCTTTTTCTCTGTGGTGCTCATCACTGGGTTCTCGGGTTTCTGCTGCAGGTGGCCCCAACAGGAACACCCACCCAGCAACCGTGCCCAGACACAGTAGGACAATCTTGTTGTTGTCAAGGTGTTTGATTTCCCAATAATCCCACCTCTTCACCCTGGTGCCAATCACTGGGTTCTGCAGCTGCCACTGGCGGATTGTGTCCCCCGAACTACTGATACCCCTCGAACTAGCCCCTGTCAAGGTGTTTGGTTATGGTTTTTGGTTAAGAGCTTGTGGCATGTCTGGTGTTAGATGTTTAAGTGACTGTTTGCATTTTTAAGGTTCATTTTCATATCAAATACCAACTTTATCTTAGAAAAATACAATTTTGTTCTCATGTCATTACAACTTATTGCATTTGTCATCGTGATGTTATGACATATTTCTGGAAAAGAGGCAACTTTTTTACTCCTATACCATTGTAGACACGCTTATTTGGCTTTCACTTTATGATGGAGGATTATGAAGGGATTCTTGGAAACATGTCTCCCTTGTCGGAAGTCCCTGAACCCAAGAAGTTTGGGACCCCCTTTAGGTGACCATAAGGCCCCCACCCCAATAGGAAAAATCATTCCCCCACCCACCTAGTGTCATTCTCTTTGTGTGCCATATGCTTCTATTTATACCACATGTCTGGAATAACACAGAGCGAGAGTGAGCGAGAAAGTCACATGACCTGCAGCTCATTCCAGAGCTGGGGATAGAAGGCACGCTCTCATTTATTATTACACCACGGCTGCATAGGCGACGATCCAGGAGCTCTGAAAAGCTTACTTGGATATCGTTGACGAAAAGAAGGACGTCATCCCTTGCGATGCCAGAAGAAACAGGTAGGATTGAGTGTGCCGTGCCATGAGAGAAGACAAAAAACATACAGGGCTGTTTTTTTTTGTTGAAACACCTGCAGCAGGACGAGCCTGCGCTTATGTAAGTGTGGAGCACTTTCTGTGTGGAGAACAACTCCAGCCTTGAGGCTGCCTGCTTTACCGTGGAGCGTTTCATATTTGAGGATAATTGGTTTGAAAAATTCTTCACAACATTTGCAAGGATGGGGAATATCTATGTGTGTTTCAGACTCCCTATCTTTGAGAAAAAAAAAACTGTATAAATAAAATGTTTAAAATAAGTCAAAAATTCTTTTTTCAATTTTAACTGGAATGATAAATTTCTGCATAGAATAGTTTAAAATATTAATACATTGAAACATAAGTAATAGGATGGGAAAAATCAGATTCTTTGAACTTACATCCATCCATCCAATTTCTAATCTGCTTATCCTCACGAGGGTCGTGGGTGTGCTGGAGCCTTTCCCAGCTGTCTTCAGGCAGTAGGCAGGGAACACCCTGAACTGGTTGACAAACAACCATTCATGCTCACAATCACACCAAGGGTCAATTTAGAGTGTTCCATTAGCATGCCATGCCTGTTTTTGGAATGCGGGAGGAAAGCGGAGTACCCGGAGAATACCCACGTAGGTACAGGGAGAACATGCAAACTCCACACAGGAAGGCCGGAGCCAGAATTGAACCCTGCACTTCTGCACTGTGAGGTGGATGTGCAAACTATTCAACCATTATGCCCCCCTCCTTTGAACTTCTGATGTAAAATTATTTTTAGGTCTTAACATTTATTAAAAGAAAAAAAATTGTTGTGTTGTTTTGAATTGAAGATACTAATTATTTTATAACTTATTTATCTTGTTTTTCTAGTATGTATTGTATGTATGAACTGCACTTCTGTTTCTCTTTAAAATTAACCCCCCCCAAAAAAATTAAGAATGAATATTTCTTAATCTTCTAAAACCACAATTTTCAATAAAGCATTTAAATATATATATAATATTTTATACATAAATTATTATTTTACTTGATTCATTATATCTTTATCATTCACAAATTCTTAAAGTTGCTTTTTATGGGATGTCTTAGTCTCTGAATGTTGATCACATCTGTATCTTGCTAAAATGTAGTTTTCAAAAAAAAAATTGTAAATGTACTGTATTTTTTTAAAAATGGGTATGGGTTGGAAAAAATCTCCTGCATATCATTTTTTTGTCAAGAAAAAAATGTATACAGCAACAACAATAATATTGCACTCTTCAAACTATTTTGAAATATTTACATTTGAAAAACAATTTTCAATTATTTACATGACGTTAAAATGTTTTCAAGCAATAGATTTATTTATTTATTATTTTATTTCCTTGGCCCTGTTCCCTGTTAAACCTGCTCGTCTTGTGTTTTGGGCGCACGGTAGCTCTGGTTGAAGAGTTGGCAATCGTGCACGAGGATTTTTTTTTTTTTGTGACTCATACCCACCCAGTTGGAGATTTAAGGATCCTTTGTATTGCCCATTACTTGTCAAAATCTTTTCAAACAATGTTCAAACCATGGGACAATTTCTGAACATTCGGAGCTCCTCTTTCCATGCACGTGTCATATTTCTATTTCATGAAGGGATGGGCATCAGCGCTGTGGGAAATGAACACAAGCACGCCATTAATCAATAAATTTCTTGAACTATTATTTAAATATGGTGACATGGTTGTGGAGTGCTTTGCACATGTGAACGTGACCTGATTGGTTGCTGGAGAATCCACTGTGGTAGGAGCAGGAGACGAGGGGCAAGGGTCGGGGTAGGGAAGCAGAAGTAAAACAGGCCAAATCCAGACGCTTGAGGGTGAGGCAAGGTGAAGAAGTAGTCACATACTTGGTGTGATCTAAACAATTGTGAGAATGTGGAAATATGTCTTAAATGGAGATTAAACCATTTTTACAGTGGTAACCACTCTCATATTCACAAAGGGCACTAAGTCAGCTGCAGTGGCACGTGAGCTCGTACGTTAGTGTGACGTGAGCACCGAAAGGATCGGCACTGATATGACACATGTCGCACAAGCCTCGGATCCATTTAAAAGATATATTACGAGCCACATGAGCAACATAGAGTTTGCCCCAGGTGTCAGTCACAAGTAGAACCACAAAAAAAGTCAAGACACTCGATGCAAAGATTCTAGGGTCATTTTGGCCATTTCCAGCAACTCCTGTTTCTGTAAATATTTTTTTGCATACACAAGAACATTTTCGAAACAATTAATTAATGGACATTGTGGTGTTGCACTTCCTTAGACAGCAAAGTCAAGTCAAAGTTGCCCCGTTGTGGTCATGCGAGCATTGGACCACGCCTCCAAATGCAATAGTTCAGGAACAGGAATGCTGCCAAGTATTATGGGGTCTCCTATTTTTAGATGGGGCATACAGTATAGCTTGGCACCTTTAAATGGGGATTCGCAGTATAGCCCCTGGGGGGGAGGGGGGGGTACTCATGGACTCCTGTTTGAGTCTTTTAAAATGTCATTCCATTTCCAGTTGTACACGAGCTGAAATTAAAGGCTTTTAATTTCACAAATAAAATGATTGAATATACTGTAAATATATTTTCATCAATAAAACAAACACCGCGGGATCACAGAGTGCCATCCTTCAAGTTTTCATCTTGCTCGTTACAGGGCATACACATATGACCTTGGGCAACGAACCGCATGCTGCTTCACCACCATCAAAAGACAAAGACTTTTGTTTTCCGTCGAAGGTCACAGCTGGTTTAAATTCACAAGGGAACTTGAACCTCGGCGCAATGTACACTAAGGGAGGTGGAGATGAAACCGGTTTGCTGACATCATAGCTTCCTGTGAAAATAAAGGCAATTAAGCCAAACCCTTTGGGCAGCTCCCTTCCAAAGCTCCTTCACCAAAGGAGAGAAAAAGGAGCTCCAATAGTGTAAAATATGGACTCCCACACACAACTTCTTGACATCCCTCTGTGTGTTTTTATATTGCCCTTTAGTGATTCAGCAGCAGGCTGTGCAAAGCCCGGCGGCGCAGCAGAAAGCAGGACGAGGCCCCGTCCCCTGCCAGAACTGCGGGAAGCCTTGCAAAGGGGAGGCCCTGCGAGTCCAAAATAAACACTTCCATATCAAGTGTTTCGTTTGTAAAGGTGTGTACCACTCACGTACGTGTTCGGCCTCAATTTTAATGTTGCAGTGAATGACGGTCTTGGGAATTGAACTTTATGACTTTGTCAGTCTGGACCGTCAGTCCAGGCGTGAAAACACCAGCTCTTCCCTTACTGAAAATGAAAGGACGGCTATGTATATTTTGACTCGCTAACTTTGTTGGCTTAGCAACCATTTTTCTAAATACACAAAAGCAGTATATTAAGCGTCAGACGAACAAACAAAAACAGCAGCGTTTCATTTCCTGGAATTTCAAGGATGTCTACTGCAGACATGTTTGACATGCTAACTTCACCAGCCCGGGGAACTTAACTTCATTATTCTCAACACACAAAAGTAGCAAAGTTAATGCAGTCCGGTTGAGAAAAGCACCCACTCTTAAGCTACTGAAATGCCAACACGGTGACTTGCTGGCTAACTTTGACCATTGAGGCAACCTTACTCCGCTGCTTAATCAACATACTGTAGCAGCATAGTAAGTGTCAGTCCTGTAAAGAGAAAAAAAAACTCCAGCTAACTTAAGTTACTGAAATTCCAAACATGGAGACATGTTGACTCACTAACGTAGCCAGCCTGGGGAACCTTACTCCATTACGCAATCAATACTGCATCATCGTAAATGTCAGTGCAGTAAAAGAAAACAGCAGACTAAAATTCCAAGGATGTAGACATATTGGTGGGCTAACTTCACCCTTTTCAGGAACCTAACTTAACCCTCCTGAAATGCCATTTGAGTTAATGGGTCAATTTGACCCATTACCCAAACTAACACAAAAATAATAATAATAATAAAAAGAAAAATCTGATTATTAACTCCATTAATCGCCATTCATTAATATTTATAGTAGACTTTACATAATGTTTTCGTGATGTCACAATTTCTTTTCATTAATTTTTCAGGAACATTAATAGTGATCCTGGGTCACTTTGACCCAGTATCCCAAAAAGTGTCGGAAAGAGGAAAATAAATTACGCCAAAATACTCATTCTGCAAAAAGGTGTGAAGTTTTCCAATGGGTCAACTTGAACCGCAACATACCAGGAGGGTCCGTTTTTCTCATCATATGAAAGCAGCATAGCAGCCATCCACAGACACATCCCGACGTCTATTTGGGACAGGACGGGTCGAATAACTTGACTGTGGGATATACACTGCATACCTCTCACATTCTTGCAAAAAGCCCAAACAAACCTTCACACATTACTGCCAGTTGGCATGCATGTTTGTGCAAAATGCTTCGGCTCGGAAGTCATCATGAAAGGCTTACGAAAGTCGAAGGAAAGTACAGATTCTGGGAAAAAAAAAAATCCACTCTCACCTATTGGCCGCCATGCGGCTCTATTGTATTGGACGGCTTACTTACTGTGCGTTTGATGGAACTGCCTGTTGTTTGGCCCTGGCTAGTGTGCGGATGCGAACTGGCCAATGGAGGCTTCTTCCTGCGACAGGGCGAGTACATGTGCACGCTGGATTACCAGCGTCTGTACGGTACTCGCTGCTTCGGCTGCCAGGACTTCATCGAAGGAGAGGTGGTGTCCGCTCTGGGCAAGACCTACCACCCCCACTGCTTCGTCTGTTCCTCATGCAAGTAAGAAACTACAAAACCAAGTTGCATTGTATGTTACTGTCCATGTGATTAAAAAAAAAAAAAAATTAAGCCACCACCAGTCTTTACAGTCAGTCTTTCAGGTACATTAAAAAAAATATTCAGTTTAGTTCTCACATAACTGCGTTTAGCTCAGCCGATTTCTTTATTTTCCTCAGGCTGCTCCCTTTTGAGAAACAAAAGAGACATTTTCGCTGGAATGTTGTTGAATTTAGCTGAGCAGATTTCTTTATTTTTATCAAGCTGTCTTATCCTTGGAACTCAAATTTCAATTACTCTAGATTGGAATGAATTGAGCTCGAGTAAATTTTAGCTCCCGCAGCCATGGAATTTGTTTTGCTCAAGTGATCTCCTCTCTTACAATAGTAACGAAACATTAATTCTCTAACGTAGGTAAATTTTAGGAGCAATTTAGTAATGATGAGGAGCAAATTTTTTGCACGTTAATCCCAGGGACAAGGGTTTTATTAACCGTTTCATGTGCCCTGCAACCTGATAACATGATAAGCTGTCCACCGTCGTAACCGCTGTCCCCGAAAGGGTTAAACCATTAAAATATGCCAAAATAACGGTGAGGTTGAATGTAGGGCTGCAGCTTTCAAATATTTCAGCATTTGAATGTCCGACTGAAAATTCTATTGAATAATCGTCTCTTCGGATAAACTACTGTATATGTTGACTTGATGCATTTTAATTAATAGCGAAAAAACTATTGGTTTCCTTTTTTTAATCTAATCAACAGTTTTTATTCCTTAGATTCACCTGGTGCATAGGAACAAATGGTCTTGGGTGGTCTACAAACAAAAACACGTGGCATGAAGTAAAAGAGAAGCTTTGACAGCCTTTGTGGAACTTCACTTGAGATGCTAGCGTTGTATCATGCAGCATAGTAATACTGAAGGTTCAAATCTGCGCGTTTATGAGCTTAGACCAGCTAACTGGGAACATGACAAATATTGAAAGAAGACAAATTTTGGTCGCGTGAAATCGCATAAAATGAAGACCTCGCGAGAGCAAATAGTTGAAATGGTGAAGTATATAAAATACTCTCATCACTTACCATAAAAGAGTTTGGATGATTTACATAATAAGCTTCAAGAGGGATTTTAATGCTTTTCTCTAGCTCAGGAACTATGATTTTTTTTTTAATTTTCAAATTTGCCCTTATTAGTTGATGAGAGCCATCCATTAAAAAAATCTTTTGTGGTAAATGTTATTAGGTTAACTTAAGCTGTCGGGTAATTGTAACAGATTTCCAAACAGGACTAACTGGCCCAAACTGCAACACTCATCTTTTGCCAAAATTGAATTAAAGTAGGGGTTGGTGAGTGTGTGTGTGTGTGTGTGTGTGTGTGTGTGTGTGTGTGTGTGTGTGTGTGTGTGTGTGTTTGTGTGTGTGTGTGTGTTTTTTGTGTTGTTTTTTTTTTTTTACTTCTGCAAATGACTCGGAGCTAAAAATCCATCTTGTTTGCCTTTCAGCGTGAAAGGGCACTTTTATTTTTCTCAACCTGCTGCATTATCATCCATTAATGTTCCAGGCAGCCGTTCCCAGCTGGTGACCGAGTGACTTTTAACGGGAAGGAGTGCATCTGCCAAAATTGTACCCAGCCTCTTCCTCCGAACAGTCCTGCACCCATTCAGGCTGTCCACAGTCAGTAATGCCTTTGTAATACCGTTTGAGGTTTGCACATGTATCGGTACATATCAAAAGTCAACCGGGCCTTTGGTTTGGTTCCCATCTAGACTGCTGCGGCTGCGGGAAAGAGTTTCAGAACGAACAGTCCCTCGTAGCCCTGGAGAAACACTGGCACCTCGGCTGCTTCAAGTGCAAAGTGTGTAACAAGGTCCTCAATGCCGAGTACATTAGCAAGTGAGTCCTCCGACGGCAGCCGGCCACTAAGATATTTGAGTTGTTTCAACGGGCTCCTTCATGTTTTTACACAGGGACGGGATTCCCTTTTGCGAAATGGACTACCATGCCATGTTCGGCATCCAGTGTGAGAGCTGCAAGAAATATATCACTGGGAAAGTCCTGGAGGTAAGACGGTGTTGTCGACATTCATCTACCGCAACGTGCTGATGAGATTCTAAGTTCGGGCTCCACACTTGAGTACGGAAGGCAACTCGCTGGCTCCGCCTAGTGGTCAGATGGCAGTTCCAAGTTTGTTTGGGTTTGTTTGTCGATCAACAGGCCGGGGAGAAGCACTACCACCCATCATGTGCCCGCTGTGCCCGTTGTGAGCAGATGTTTGCGGAAGGAGAAGAGATGTACCTCCAAGGTAGAGTGGCAAAAAACTTAAAAGGGTGAACATACAGCAGCTTGATGGCTGTCACAGAGGACTAAAAACTCGCTCCAATTCTGTAGGATCTTCAATCTGGCATCCCCCATGCAGACAAGCAGCAAAGCAGGAGGAGAAGAATAAGGTAAGGACCCAGACAAATATTAGATATATTAAGAAAACAAAACAAAACAAAAAACTGAAGGTAGTCCTAAAACTAATAAAAACTAAAGTTTAAAAAAAATTTTTTTTGAAAAATAAAATTAATAAAAGCTAATAAATTTGCTGTAAAAACTAATTGAAATTCATTGGATTAAATTTAAAAAGTCAAAATAAAAACAAAGTTGAAAAAAAAAATTTCATACTATAATCCTGGTTCCAGGTGACTCGGACTTCGTCTGAGAGCATCACGTCTGTCCCGGCATCCAGTGCCTCGGGCTCTCCCAACAGAGTCATTTTTGTAAGACACTGCCAGAGACTCCACCCAACTCCACTCTCCGGCTGTTAGCAATTCTTTCATTGCCGTTTTTTGGGTGGGGCTCATTTTGGTCGCTAGGCCAAGCTCGGAGAAGAGATGCTAGACTACAAGGACCTGGCAGCCCTTCCAAAGACCAAAGCCATCTACAACATAGACCGGCCCGACATGCTCTCGTACTCGCCCTATGTCAGCTACGCGTCTGAAGAAAGGCACTATGGCGAGGTAGACTTGAGGGGTTGCAAGGGTCTGGGGTCGGTGGTCGGTTATCTGGGCTCCTGCTTATCGCAAAAAGTGGATTCTCCGTTCAACTCGGCTTTGTTCATCCAGGGCGATGGGGAGAAATCACCGTGTCAACATAGGCCCTCTAGCCCCAGTTCCAACAGTTCCATGGGTGGCTACGGACGCTACACACCTTCTCGTTCCCCTCAAAACAACAGCCGACCAGGTATTGCTATTGACTATCTGTTGTTATCATATCACTTTCAGTATGATCCATCGATTGTGCAGTGTTCCAGCGTTTGGTGTTGTTCCGTAACCCATGAGAATTGGGATTCACCTTCATCAATCATTTGCGTTTTCCTCATTCTGTGGCACAATATTTGACACTCAGGACCAGAAATAGATTGCCCGAGTACAATCGGGCCCCTCCCGTGTGGCGTCAAGTTCACCTCCAGCTTGGCCAGGGCTTCCCCTTCACATCTAGCGCACCATTCCAAGGGGACGGAAGGGTGTAGCGGTGCCACTAACACCGCGCTGTTGGGCGGAGGTAGCGGTGTGTCGTTACACCTGAACCCCACCACGTTGTCCATGCTGCAGCAGCACAACTTCATCCCTTACTTCCGAGGTATCCCTCCATCGAGGCCTCATTCAATGCAGACAGTGGACTATTTGCTGGCGGGGTGGACAAAAGCTCCCGCAGAAGACTGCCAATCTGTTAAGGAGCGTATCAAGCGTCTATTAGTGCTGAGTAAATAAATAAATAAATATATTGTTGGTGTAAATGCAGGCAGCCCGGTGATCGAGTTGTTAAGCGCGTCGACCTCACAGTGCAAAGGTCATGGGTTCGATCCCGACTCCGGCCTTCCTGTCTGGAATTTGCATAATTCTCCCCGTGCCTGTGTGGGTTTTCTCCGGGTACTCCGGTTTCCTCCCACATTCCAAAAACATGCATGGCAGGTTAATGGAACTCTCTAAATTGTCCCTAGGTGTGAGTGTGAGCGCGGATGGTCGTTCGTCTCTGTGTGCCCTGTGATTGGCTAGCAACCAGTTCAGGGTGTCCTCCGCCTACTGCCCGAAGACAGCTGAGATAGGCTCCAGCACCCTCCCGCAACCCTTGTGAGGATAAATTGGGTTGGAAAATGGATGGATGGATGGATGATGGTAAAATGCATTTTTATGACACCAAAAAATAACACATTATTCATTTTCTGAGAGTAAAAATGATAATGAATCCAAACAGTATCTAAATACTATGTGTTACACCTTATGAAATAACCCCCCCAAAAATATCCCATTGTACAAAGTATTATGACTTGTGTGGCTCAGCGAACAGTCGATTTGTGTTCTTTTCGTCTTACCATCCGTATCCATTGTCACCTTCAGCTCTACAGATGCAACGGTCTCTCAGGCCCGTTGACCATATTGTTGCGTTCCATCAATGGCACCAGCAAATCCCCCATTGTCTGTATTTCACTTGGGCTGCAATGGACTTGAAGAATGGTGTGCTGTGATGCATCCCGACTGTTTCACCAAACATAACCGTATGCGGAGGCAGTTTTGTTTGAAGCATGACATCCTAATAATCTCCTAATTATCTCTCAGGATTCAAACAAGACACGCTACCTAGGACATCCTTGCATCTCGCATTTCCTTCCCCTAATGGTAAAACGCCAGTTCTCTCCTGTCCCTCCGCCTCAGTGGAACGGTTAGCCGCTTTTTGTGATGTCGTATGCTATCGTGGTGTCGTCAAGTCCATTTGGTTTTTACGTTCCGTTTGCCCCACGCTCATCTGTGTGTGGACTTGTCAAGCTTGTCACCACTTCGGGGATGTTTGCAGAAGTACAGTCACCGTGCATTGCGTTTATCATTCACTTCATGAACTGACTCGTCTGTCCGCACTTTCTACTGCCTTTTTGATACCATACGTGCACATCCTCTTTTCAAATGTGAGGTGCCTGAGCTTGGTCAACTCGCCCCCATTATCGACGTGACAAGCGGAGATTCATCTCCGAACCCGTATCTTCCACTCAAAAGCTGTGCTGATCTCAAATCCAAAGCGATGCAACGCCACCATCAACAGGAATCTTTTTGTCAGTAAGCTGAATTTGACATAAAGTTGGGCGAGACCCCCTTGGTCTCGGTTGGAGACCGGTCCAAGCTGCTTTAACAGCACCGCTGTGTGTGTTTGTGGTCCGAGTTGTGATCTCCCACAACCAGTGACTCCCATCACCCAGTCTCGCCTGCGACAGTGAAGGGTTTCTCAAACCAGGGGTCAGTGAGCCCTATCTTGATGGTCCACAAAATAATTTGTAATCAATTCTTTTGCATCATTTTAAAACGTGCATAGCTGCATACGGGGTTCATAAATCAAACGTCCTGAATGAAATCCTCCTCGATCTGGGCCAATTAAAAGTTCTGATTTGATGATGAAGTATCATCGCATAAATCTGATATCCTTGCATTGATTTCTTTTTTTTTGAATATGTCTTTCTTCCCTTGTTAAACTTTGCCTCAGTATCGTAATATTACAGCTTTAGTCTTGTGAGATTACGATTTTTCATCGCAACAAAATATGGGAAATGAGGTTACAAATCACAACTTTATTGTTATAACGTTGCAACTTTTCTGTCTTTTAAAAAACATATCGGTTTGTTATTGTGAGATAGCCAACCTCCCTATGCAATTTAGGGTGAAACATGATTATGTTTAAGGATCCCTTGTGAAAGAAATTCTCCCTGGAACCCAAAAGTTTGAGAACCCCTAACGTCGTGTGGTGTATCCGTTGAACACATTGCTCATGAGAAACTCCATGACAGCGGCCACCCACTAACCCGACCACTCGTTGCTCTTTGTACCCAATGCCCACTCGTCCGTTCCCGACCGAAGGAAGTGAAAGTGGTCGGAGTACCCCCAGCCTGTCCGCCTACTCTGATGGCAAATCCCCATCGTCCACCTCGACGTACGTGGCTGCCCCTCGCCATTTCCATATACCAGGTAGGCATGTAAACCCATAAGGATGTTGTTACTCCAACGAATTGCATATTATTTGATGGATTTAATTTGCTCATAAATAACCTCTCATTTTTCGCCGACACGGATTGGTGACTGTTATTACATTTAAAGGCAATGCATGGATGAGATGAATTTTCTTTTTTTTACTTGGAAAATGAAACATTTGTGTTGACTTGGGCTCTGCAGTGCAATTTCTTTTTTTTTTTTTTTGGGCTTCTCATCCCCAAATAACTGCTAACTCATGCTTCTCTCTCTCTCCCTCTGTCTCTCTGTCTCTCCGATGTTTGCTTCTTTCATTTGTTTTCCCTCTCTTTGCCGATTCCCATTTCCAGAGACTGAGGTCAAAGATAATATCTATAGAAAACCCCCCATCTACAAACAGCATGGTACAGTCCACTTCCTATTTAACACTTCCCTCTCTTGGTTCAATGTTTTGCATGCACCTTTTCTGCGCCTCATTCCTGGCAGACTCATCAGAATTACATGCATTGGGTAAAGATAATGCATTTTCCATAACGTAGCTACTTGCTAAGTATGAGAACATCTCGAGACCAGAACATAGAAGACGCAATGAAGCTCAGACGGGAACAAACTATGACGCCTTCTGGACCTTATCTTGGAAAAATACAACTTACTGTGCTTGTCGTAGAATGTTGACTTTTTAATCCTGCTCTCTATGTGACTTTGTTCGACCCTTGTGCAGCTTCCAGAACATCCTGGCAGGATGGCGATGATGGCAAGGTGAGCGAGTCATTTCCTATTTACCGTCGCCATTCTTTGTTTTTCCTCAAATGTTTCGTCACCTGCTCTGACGTCCCTTTTTTTTTCCTGTTTGGATACATTTATCTTATTACTTTCCAGAAGAAGTGGTGTCTTTTTCGAGGATATAGAATATATAAATTTTAGCAAAGTTTAAAAGCTTTAATTTCTAAAACTTTATTTCTGGTTAATCAGAGGCAGCCAGTTATCAGAGGGTGTGCATACATGTGCAACCACATTATCGCAATTGTTTGTTACTTCACCTCAAAAAGAATGCCATTTTTTTCAGTTGAAGTACTGCATATAAGTTATGTGTCAAAGTAATGCTGGAAAGAGGTTTGATTTTTTTTTTTTTAATGACAAAAGCCTGTTATTGAATATGGGTGTGTAGACTTTTTATATTCACTTAAGTATGATTTCTATGCACAACATGTTCAAGAATGAAGTTGTATTTAATTTTTTTTTTTTTTTACAATATAATCTTATTTTTCTAAAACAAAATGTTTATGTTTTCAAGAATCTAGTCCGAGTTCTGCCAAAATGATTTCTATTTATTGATAATTTAGTTCCATTTTTTCCAAGAACATAAAAGGGAATTTTTCAAGAAGATTGTCCTATTGCCTCCTGAGAACTAAAGGCAGTAACTTGTTATCCGACCAAAATATGTACTTGCTCTTATGAAGATTACAACTGAGTTTTTCTTCCCTCCATTTTAGAGGAGCACTTGGATGATCATGAAGAGTGACATTGATGGGCACATGGGTCCCGAAGACCACGACCCATCCAAGTCAACCTGCAGTTTGCCAATGAAAACCTCTCGGCCAAGTGAGTCACATGTTTTTTTGGAAAGTCGGTGCCAATTAAAAAGACCTCAAATTAAAATAAATGTATATATATTTTTTTTAATCTGTTGTCAGATTTTCCTCATTATAAATCTGCATCCTTGCCTGGTTACGGAAGGAACGGCATCTACAAGGTGAGCTACAAAAAAATTGAACATAGCAGAGTGTAGCTGGTGCTTATTTGAGAGAGGCATCAATTTGAAGGGAGGCCTTCATTGGTCTGATTTTGATACACGGTGCTGATAAAAAGTCTACACTCGTCTTCTTCACGGTGGAGGGAATCATGAGGAGTCATATCCAAACTACCTTTCATTGTAAGCGCAAAACCTGAAAAAATATGTGAGGAAAAGCCTACTAGAACATCTAAGCTAGTTTTGGGGTTAATCGGAGGCACTTTAATTGATGGCAGCTGTGTGCTGAGTCCCATTTAGCAAGAATTTAAATTTGGTTGGTTAACCTGCGCACAGACACATCCCTCATTACAAGAGGGTGTGCATACTTTTGCAACCATATTGTTTCTGTTTTTTGTTTTTACCTTAGCTCTCTAAAATATTATTGAAATGCTTTATTTTGATCTTATTTTTTTATGTTATTATTTTTTAATTTATATATTTTTTGAAAGGCTTCTGAGATGGTTGAAGATGAAGTCGATCCAGACTCCCAAAGCTGGGGAGGCATGAGAGGTACGTTTTTTTTTTGGTTTCTTTTGCCCGGCTCCTTCTTGCAATACAATTTACATTTTTTCATGTGTTTCATCATATTAATTCTCCATTTTTTTTTCCTTTTTTTCTTTTTCTTTTTTTTTTTTTGGGTTGCTCAGAGTACAAGGTAAGATTACATTTTCAGGAGCATGTAGGAATATTTTCCAATCAGATAATATGAGCATTGAATGCATTGTCAAATGATACCTGCAGGTGTACCCTTACGAAATGTTGGCGGTAACACATCGAGTCAAAGTGAAGCTTCCCCGAGACATCGATCGCACCCGACTGGAGGTGAGCCGAACTCAACGTTTGCTCAGCTCATTCCATAATCACTGCATAGGGATTTTTAGTAGACTTTGCAGGAACCATCAAGGTCCTCGACATAAAAATCCCAAAATAGTGACGAAGCCAATAATTCTGAACCCATCCGCTGATTTTTGCCTCTCCCGGTTCGCCAGAGACATCTGTCGCCTGAAGACTTCCAGAAGGTGTTCGGAATGACTCTGGATCAATTTGAGCGTCTGGCCCTGTGGAAAAGAAACGACATGAAGAAGAGGGCTCGTCTTTTTTAGAAAGGAGCCCGCCAGTGGTCAGCGCTTGCCACCCCGCCTGCGCCCCCTCGCGCCAAAAGCTTTATGTGTGCAATACGATGGCGATGTTGGACTTGCGACCTTCCGGATGAGCTGCAGGATTCTTTGCATGCCCCGTGCTTGTCGCGCCTCCCGCACTCAAACATCTCTTTGAAGCTTTTTTTCACGCCCGTGTTAGCCTTCCCGTCATTTCGCCCGAAAATCCTAAATTCACGTTAATCGCTTTGGAAAGTTCCCCATTTTACAGGTTCAAAATTAGCTTTTTTTTTCCTTTTTTTTCAATTAATTCCCGTGGAATTATGACCTTTTTTTTCCTCACATACTACCAGTTTATTCTTGTCACATTACGCTTTCGTCTTCATCATATTCTGACTTTTTTTTCCTCATAATACAACTTTTTAAAATCATAATATCGCAACCATATCTTGTGTCTTTTTCTGCATAAGGCAGAAAAGGTTGTTTTGTTATGTGAGAGTCTTGATTTTTTTTTCTGTCTTTTATTGTGACAACTTTACTCTTGTAATATGCCGACTACATTCTTGTAAAATGATGACTTTTTCATAGTATCGTGACTTTATATCTTGTGTTTTGACGACTTTATTTTTATGTTCGAACATGCATTTAACGCATTCTGGTAACACTGGGATCAAGAATTCTTGAAAATATTCTCGTAATTCTTGAGTTTTTCTCATAACATGACAACTTTTTTCCCTCATTACGACGACTTCAGTCATATGACTTGAACTTTTTCTTGTCATATTTCAGCGTTTTCTTGTTTACGATTACGATTGCTTCCTCCTAACATTTTGAAATTTTTTCTTTCAATGTTAAAACTTTATTCTCGTAAAGTTGCATCTTTTTCAGGTAATATTACAAATTTCATCTCATAATATCAGGACCTTTCTTGTTGTATTATGACTTTAGTTTCCAAATTGTTTATGAAATGGTCGGATTTCATTCTCATGACTTTACAACATTTCTCATATTATTATGACTTTATTCTCATAACATTCTGACTTTTTTCTCTTGATATTACAAGTTCACTCTTGTAAGTTTGCAGCATTTTGGCAATGTTATGATTTTATTATAACATTGTGACTTTTCTCCTAGTTTGGTTTCTTTTTTGTGGTTTGCTGCTAAATTCTCATCAGAACATAAGATGTCGTGCTTTTGTGTGTGTGTGTGTGGGGGGGGGGGGGATATGTTTTGCACTCGTCTCTCAATTGTTTGGATTCAAACACACTGTACCATCTTTTCTTTATGGTTTCGATCTCACATTGAATGACTGCTGGAGCCATGAATCCAAAACTATAACATAGTATATAAAATCGTTTTAGCTTTATTTATTCATGCCGCTATGTTTGTTGCTTAAATGCATCATGGAATACTGCTAAAGTAAAACTCACAACAATACTGCAAGATGTACCGTATGTAAGCATCTACTACTGACAACATAGACATATACAGTATATTCTATAGGATTTATTTCTGTATACAAGCCATTGCATGATAATGATACCTTTCTGTCGAAAATGATATTGAGTGAAATGAAGGATCAGCTGCTCGCCATAACTTATTTAATTGTGATATGATGGAAGGGATTTTTTTTGAAGTTACATACATACATATCGATTTTTTTTTTGAGCCTTGTAAGTCAAACACTAACTAACTGTTCCCTGTTTCTAATATTCCTCTGCCATTAAAGTGCTTTATCCAACAGCAGCCTGGCCAACTGTCGACTGAAATTATTCCCCCAATACAGTAGTGTAGTTTTGTTTTAAATTTGGTTTTGAAAGTACAGTATGGATATTTGATTCATGTCATTTAACAATTAATATAAATATGTAAATTAATGTTTTAAAATGTGTAGCTAGATTTTTAAAATATTTCTAGCATTAAAAAAAAACTGAAGACCACTGACGTGAACATGTCAATCATCCTATTAATGTTTTTAAAATAAATATTTACATGAGTGTGTGCGTGAGTGTTATTTTATTAAAATCGAACGCTAATTCTAAGTGTTCGAGCTGCTGTCAACAAATAAGCCTCTCCCTCTTAGCGCTGATTGGCTGTAGGTTTACACGTCACTTCCGGCCCAGCCTCTGATTGTCACCGGTCTGCGAACAATAAGCAACCTGAGAAAGGAGCAAGGTGAGCTTCGCTTGCCCTAATTTCACCGTTTTTTTTTGGTTTTTTTTGCTTCCTCTTTAAGTTTTTGTGTGTATTGTCATATTTGTTTGGGTGAATTTTTACTCGAGAGAGCATGTGGCTGGAGAAGGAAGTGGGGCTTCCTGGCTGCCCGGTTTGATGTGGGGGGCGTAGTATTGTATTGTTCTGTCATTGAGACAAATGGAAGCTAGTTTTATTGATCCTCAAACGGACGCGCGATGTCTTGGCCAAAATGGGCTTTTCTCATACATGTCCCTTGTACTATTGTACAAAAATCAGATTTCTGCTGCTTTTTAATCTTTCGATTCTGTATATGTACATGAACAAGTTACATTTCACTATGTTTGGGTCTCTGGGAGCAACCAAATGTCTCTTATTCGTCTTTTTTGACTTGATATTACTTGAGTTGCATTATCTTTTTGGGTTGGGGGGGGTAAAATTTGCATGTAGTATGAAGTATTTTTCATCAAAATCTTCCGACTTTCGCGTAATATTTAAGCATGTGTTCATGTAATGTTAGAAATACTTTTCTGAGCCGTTTCTGTCTTTGTACTCACGACCTTACGATTTTTTTTCAAGGCAGATAATGACTTTTTTCTCGTATTAATATGGGTTCCCTCCCCCCACCTTTTCTTTTTCTAGTAATACTTTATTCTCGTGGCATTTCGACTTTTATCTTGCAACACAAAAAATTATTCATGACACTACAATTTTTTCTCACGAGTTTACAAATTTTTCCCACATTAGTATATTTTATTTCCTCCATGAGACTTTTTTCCTTCCCTTTTCTTTTTCTCTTAATATTTAAGATTGATTCTCATGATCTTATCACTTTTATTTTGCAATATTAATAATTTATTCTTGTGGCATTACAACATTACAAATGTAGGACTTTTTCCTTCCAAAATGCAACTTTTTGTCATGTAATATGGCGGCTATAGTCTCGTAATATTATGATCGTATTTTCATCTGTACTGTTTTATGTAACATGACAGCTTTTTTTCTTAGAATGTTTTCTTTTTTTCTCACAGATCTAGGACTTTTTCTAGATTACAACTTTTTCTTTTATTTTGGCGATTCTTATTCTTGCAAATTACGATTTTTCTTTTCATAGCTGCGACTTTTTCTAGCATTATCACAACTTCATTTCTTGTAACAAAAACTACATTGTTCTCGTAATGTTCCAATCTTTTCTTTCTTTTCTATGATTCTTTTTTTTTCCTCATATTATCTCTATTCTTCTAATAGTTTGACTTTATAAGTTTGTGGGTTTTTTCCCACAGCCACATGAAGTTAGTCATTTCAGGCATGTGTGCTGTGAGGACAAGGCCTAATTGTCTCCGAATGAAATTTGCCCAGCCAAGATGGCTCAACAAGTTTTCTTTCTCCTTTGTTTTAAATAAAATGCCATTTTTATTGTTGTATAATGTTTATTCTTGTCAAATGATGTTTCTTTTTCTCCCGATTGTAACTGCTTCATTGCAACTCTCGTAAAATTACGATTTTTTTTTACTTTTTTCTCTGAGTATTACCACTTTTTTTTCTTGTAGTATGATGGCATTTTTTTAATCAAGATTTGTGTCTTATTATGATGGCTGTTTGCATAAAATTTTATTCTCGTACCTTTGCACTTTATTTTGCAAGATTACGACTTTTTTAATGAATTGGCAAGGCTTTAATTCCAATGACATTTAAGGGGTACACGTGGTCGTTAGGTTAAAAACAACAACAAACAAAAAACACCAAACAAATTTGTTAACTCCGAGGGTCCGTGAAGGCGTCGTGTCGGGGGCGGTGAGGAAAGACCACGGTGGGGGAAAGTGAGGAGGAGGAGGAGGAAAAATCGGGGAAAAAACGCCTGCAACCACGGCGAAAAGTAACAGCGTGGACTTCTAACCGTGTATGGACCGTCGTTTGGCGGATTACATGATGAGGAGCGAGCCTGTGATTTTTACATCCAGTGGGGGTGAGTTTCTGACTGAGTTCGTGAGTGGGCTCAACTTTGATTTTTTTTTTTTCGTTTTTGGGACGTGACGGCGACATTTTTCGGGGGTGAGTTTCTGACTGAGTTCGTAAGTGGGCTCAACTTTGATTTTTTTCGTTTTTGGGACGTGACGGCGACATTTTTCCGTCTTGATGTACACAACGACTTCAATCTGCATTTTTTTATACTCACCACTTTTGCTTTGTGTTTCGAGTTATCTGTCGCCTAAATGGGTCGGTTGTTGCTAGATGGATGTACTAGTACAGTCCTAACTAATTACGAACAGTCTTTGTGTTCAGAAGAGTATGATTTATATAGGTCATAAGAACCTCCCCACCACGTAATGCACTCATCCACCTCCATTCACTTACCTTTTTTTTTTAACATCTACTTTCACACCTCCAGGCTACTTCCAGTCTAATTGGGGGGGGGGGGGGGCGCCAAGGGGACGTTATGTCACTATTCACACTGCTAACAATTTTGTCGGTCTTTTTCACCCATCGCGAACAATGCAAACTCGATTCCACGATCACATTGTTCTACAAGCTTTTCAAACAGTTTTTCCACAATCAAACCTTCCTAAGAAAAGAGTCTTTTTAGGAGTAAGTACGTATACGCTTTCTAATAAAGACTACTTTTTTTGTAGCCGTTTCAACCAGTAGGAAACACAAAACTCAATTCCAGAGTCACACTGTCTCACAAGAGAAACAAAGAAGTCAAATCACAAAACATTTTCTGTGGGAATGAAATGTCTTTATGAAGATATTTTCTCATAAACTCGACTTTTTTGGAGCCATGTCACATGTAAGATACAATTGAAATTCGATTATTACTCACAATGAAGTAAAAAGGATTTTTAATGTAATTTTCCAAGGATAAAGTACAGACTTATTTGAATACGTTTTTTTTCTCATCAGTATAGCTTTTTTTCAGCCAGAGGAAACAGCTCAAACTGAGTTAATGTGCTTCAGTCTGAATGTCACTAGTGTTACAACCCCCGCCCCCAAAAGTTAGCATGAAGTTGTGATTTTTACAAAAATAAAGTACAACTTAACAGAACTATCAAATTTTCATCCATTGAAAGCAATCTGTTTTTCAAATCAAACTGTGTTGACAGTGTGATTTCTGCTAATGGTACAACTTTATTCTCACGTTAGAAATTCGTCACTTAACTTTACAAATGTATCACCACAGTATGATAGCTTTATTCATGTAAGTTTACAAGTTTTCCCTTTGAATTGTGCTTTAATATTCCTGTAAAATTACACTTGTTCCCTCTCCCTATTTGTTTTTTTTTTATGTCAGTTATTTGGTATGAGTATTCACTCTTCGAGTACTCTCCGATACCAAGTACCGATACCACTTGTACTTTTGATATGCAACATTTCATTTAACACGATGACAATAAATTATGAACAAAGACCTTTCTTTGTCAAGCAGATGATAGTACACCACAGGTGTCAAACTCAAGGCCCAGGGGCCAGATCTGGCACGCCACATCATTTTATGTGGCCTGCGGAAGCAAATCATGAGTGTCAACTTTCATGATTTTTGCTTAAATCTGTATCAAAATGAAAAATTGTAGTGTGTAATAAATAACGTTGAGATTTCGCAATAATTTGGTCATCCTGCTTACATTCACTTGAACAATAATTGAGCAAACTAATAAAGTTGACTGATTTGAAAACTAGTGATCCATCAATTTGTTGTGTACAAATAATAATATGATGAGATGATTGAACTTTGGTTTTGGATTAAATGTGGTTTCATTGTCATAATGGCCCTCCCTGGGAAGACGTAACTCCAAAGTGGCCCGTGACAAAAATTAGTTTGCCACCCATATGATATGCCAATGTGTCAAACTGCCACAGTATAGCGCCAACTACTCTTGAAGAGGACTTCCTCAATGTCCGATTTTATTTGCCTTAAGTATCAATGGCTGATATCGGCAGCCTCCTCGAGTAATGATACCTTCAAATTACGAATATCGATAAAGATTAGTAGGATTAGAATTTTTTTTTTTTTAAAGCCACTGTAAAATCAAGTGCAGACAACTGAAAAATCTACTCATCTGCATGAAGAATTTCTAATTCCCACCACTGCGTACATGAATGTTGCTCACTGTGTAACACTCATATCATTCATCCCAGGCTGTTCGCAGTTTGCAGGCCTGTGGTTAGCAACCAAGCACTCTCTAATTATCGTTGGGAAAGAAATACCAGAGGGCGCATCTTCACTCTCTCCAAAACTGACTTAGCCCTGATCCCTGCAGCTCCACGCAGAGGTTTCGCAGATGTATACTTTTGGGTTGGAAAACATCTGCTTGTAGGTTAAACCACCTGTTTGATAGCAATCAACTTGGCCCTGTGATGTTTCGAGCGGCCTTTCAACGGAATGACGTGAGCACCGCAACACTGTAATTACAGATCCGAGACTGCTCGTCTTTCGCCAGAAACTAATGCTGCCGCGTCGACCGTCCCTGTGATTTGTCCGTAACGTTCTCCCGTTGGGCGTATTGCCGAGTAAGGTTCAAGGAGAAAAATGCTTTCATAACTATGAGAAAGAAAAGTCGTACAAGAATGGCATTGTAATACTTAAGAGTAGGGGAAAAAAAGTTAGACAAGAGAAGCCATAGCTTAGACTAAAAAGAAGTATCACTTAAAAAGCTAAAATGTCTTCAGTACATGTTCTTTGACAATTAATGCATTTGGGACAAACTGAAAGAACAAAATGACACAATTGTGGGGGCAGGGGAGATGGACATTGTAAAGTTCAGAGAATACGGCTAACAACAAAACTTTTTTTTTTTTTCCCCAGACTGCTTCCATTACTGGTATTCATTCCTTGAGGACCTCTCGTGCTTTTGATACATAAAATTTCATTTTACAAAATGAGAAAAAAAATTGTGAATTGTGAGACCTTTCTTTCTGACGCAGTTGATGATTCGCAGATGTATCAAACTGCTGCAGTATAGCGCCAACTACTGTTGAGGAGGACTTATTCAATGTCAGATTTTTTTTTTTGCCTTAAATATCGGTGGCTGGTACCGGTGCCCTTCACCACTACCCTATACCTTAAAATAAAGCCAGTATCGCTCATCCATAGTTTTTGGAGTCGTAAGTAGAAGAAAAAAAAAATATTGGAAAATAATGTGATATTGTGATGAAAAGTCAGAATTTTACAATGAAAGTGTATTAGAGCCACACCAAAACGAATTTAAAAAAATCTGTGATAAATAGTCTACGTACTGTTAGGTCTTTACTGAAAAGAACATATGTGAAATTACTTGCAGAAAAGTTGCCAGATCATTAAAATCTGAGAAAAAAGTGGTGATATTCGGACTGGCGTGGGGGGGGGGGGCATTATGACTGAGAAACCATATCAATGTTTCATCAGCTCCTCATAGTACACAACAAATTGATGGATACCGAGTATTGTTCAAGTTACTACAATAACATAACAAGAAAAAGCTTGCAGTATGTCAACATTATTATTTATTACATGTCAGAGATTTGGCTCCGACAAGTTGAACAAAGTGACTCGACTCAGGAAGAGACTGTCTTTTCTCAGGAGGCGCAGTTTTCTCTGAAGCCACTCTGTGTTTTATTTATTACATATGGCAATTTTAAATATTGATACACATTTTAACACCCATCAGAAAAGTTGACAGGCTTGATTTGTTTTTGCGGGCCAAATCGAATGTTGTGGCAGGCCAGATCTGACAGTCGGGCCTTCAGTTTGAGACCTTTGCATATAGAGAATAAACGTCGACATTTTCTTTATCAAAATCCAAATGTATTTAGTTTTTTTTTTTTTTTTTTAATATAAAGTGTAACTGATCACATTGTATCTCTGGTTGTGCAGCAATGGAGGAGCTGGTGTACGAGCTCCGGCTGTTCCTTGACCTACTGGACCGGGAATATCTAAGTGCCGGAATCCGTGAGAAGAAAACACACCTCTCCAACATCCTCAATAGAGTCCTGTCGGAAAAAGGTAACACTCCGCTTTGCAACAAACGCTCGAGAGAGTAGGACCCCCAAAATGAGATGTTTGGTAGTTTTGCTTCTGTTTGTGTGCCTCAATAAGTGCTGCTGTTTTGATTAGCAACAGAGTTCAAATGGGTTGACTATTTACTGTCCTTTACTCCTTGTTGTTTTTATTTTTCATTGACCGAGCGGAGATGCCTTGTTTGTTCAAGTGTTCTATTCGTTCAAGTGGATGATGGGAACTGTTAGTTGTTTTATTTGAAATAAGTTTGTGGGACAATTGTTCACCTTTCCACAGATCCATTATGTAAAGCAGAGATCCACAGCGGACTACCCACGCCGCCTCAGATGCCGCTGCCTGAAATCCCTCACCCCTGGCTGGTAAGACTGGACCCCAAATTTTTGTCTTTGTGACACAATTGCAAGGAAAACATTTGAGCTCTCGATGAAGTCATAAAACATTGCAAGGGGAAAAAAGCACTTTTACCATAGGAAAAAAAGATAGTTGAGACTGCAATTTTGGAAGTAAAATTTTTTAAATGTTTTTATTTTACAAAAGTCATAAGTATTACGAGAAGAAATCATAAAACGCCAAAGATAAGACATTGCTATATGACAGGGAGAGAGTTGCAATTTGAATAAATGTATGAATTTTATTAGCATTAAAAAACGGTTTTAATATGACAAGAATAAACATGTATAATGAGAAAAACGTAAATACAATGAGACATTGATACAATAGTAGATAACACTTGCAGTTTTACAGTTACCTGACAGTTGGGATTTTACAAGAGTGAAGTTATAACATTAGGAGTAAAAAGCTTTGATTTAAATACAATAAAATTGCAAATATTGCAAAAAGAAATTATTTTCAATTCAGGAAAAAAAGAAATAATGTTAAAAAAAAGTCAGAAAATCACCTGACAGAGACAGAAGTAAAGTTGTGTTTTGGATGAGAAAAATAGATGTAATTTTACAAAAAAGTAAAGTGTAAACTATTACCTCAATTGCTGTTTTATGAGGAAAAAAACTTGAGTAGGCAGTTCTACGTTGTCATGATTGGCAGTAAGAAATTGCACTACTACAAGAAAAATGTCGTCACATCCCCGATCGAGGCGTGGGAAAATAAATGCGGGCCAAAGTTAGAATAAAGTTGTCGCTTTCTCGGTGTGTGGATAACATGTCGTTATCTGCGAGTGAGACAAGTGAACTGTTTAAGAGCGGGTCAGCACGGGGGAGAAAGAGACAGCCTCGACCACAGTCTGTCTGTGACCCGCGCCAGCACGGCCAAACCAGCGCGCTTCGGCAAAGACTTCCAGCCTGCGGCTTTTCCGAGCTCCCGTCAACACGCTTTCCAGGCTGCACTGGCCATTTGGACGAATTGCAGCCTCTCCGGAGGAAGTCAGCTCTTGTTAAATGCTGCATTTACCAGGCAATTATTGCCATGCTGGCCAGTTTACAATTACAGTTCAGACGATCGTAGCCAGGGATCATTTGTGGGCCGACCAAGGATCACAGGTGACAGCTTGGTCGCAAGTCAATCACACCGCACGGAGATTTTTCACCTCTTTGAGAACGTCCATCTGTCCAGGAAAATGTTTGGCGGTCCTTCACCCCTCCTTACAGTTACGTCACGCGCTACGTTTTGCGCGGCCCTCCTTTCGAGGGCGCGCAAATGATTTCCATATGTGTTGATGTTGGCGAGTGTTGCTGCCCCCCCACCCCTCTCTTCTCGCTAGCCCCCTCGGGGTGGGATCCTCCCTCTGCTTGGCAAGTCAACACACAGGGCATTGCGTCACGTGAACACTAAAATTCCAAAGCATACATCATTTTTTGTTTTTGCCGGCTTTTGTTTTGCTCGGCGTATGTAGGTCACCAACATGTCGACACTTCTACTTCCCTGGCTCCGGCACAGTTAGGAGAGGTGGACTTGAGCACAATTTTCATTATTTGTAAGCACCTTATGCTATTTAAATAGGCTGGACTCTTATGGAAAAAATAAGCATCCTGATTATTTTGTTTGAGATTGAAATCACGATTATTAAAAAAGGATTACTCATTCATTTCAAAACTTGGTATTTATTCAACTACCAAAGCTCAATTACCGTATTTTCCGCACTAAAAGGCGCACCTAAAAGCCTTCCATTTTCTTAAAAGCTCACAGCGCGCCTTAAAATCCGATGCGCCTTGTGTATGGTCATGACAGTAATATTTCGACCCCAAAATGGCTCTTTGCTCGAGACATGCTGACAACGCAGAGTTCAAACTTGAAGCGATCGGTTACGCAGTTGAACACGGAAATAGAGCAGCGGCAAGAGAGTTCAACGTTAACTAGTCAATGTTATAACTTGCTGTTGGTTGAGTGAACTGTGTCGCTGCTTTATTAAATAGGTTTTACTGACATCTGATAGTTCTGTTGGTGTTTCCTTGAGTGTAGCTCCATCTAGTGGATGCATTGTAGATTGCGTCTTATAATGCGGTGCGCCCAATGTATGGAAAAAAATTACAAAATAGGCCATTCATTGAGGGTGCGCCATTTAGTGTGGAAAATACGGTACTCAAAACTACCATCGTAGCCTCACGCCCTTTCATCACTGCATGTTGAACACTTTCTTCTTGGACTCCCTAATTCTTTTTGTCAAGTACAAAATGACCCTGTAAATGTCATGTGAAATTCAAACTCCTTGCATTTTCATTCTCCTAACCGGAGTACCCGGAGAAAACCCACGCAGCCACTGGAAGAACATGCAAACTCCACACCGTAAGGCCGAGGCCGGATTCAAAACCACATGCTCTGCACTGTGATGTGGACGTGCTAACCAGTCCACCAGTCTTTTTGTTGTGTGTTTTGTCTTGCTGTACACTTCATCTGGGGTGTCTTGAAACAGTGTAAAGGACACATCGGGACAGCAGAATCCCATAAGCAAGCTACATGGTGCGTTCAGGGTACTTACACGTCATGAACTTGTAAATGCACCGCGCCGTTCTGCACATGGTTTTTCTTTGATTCGAACATTTTAAAGATGGAGAAAAGCCAAAATCGAGGTCACCATTTTAATTTCCATTCGTCATCCAGCCCTGCTATTTAATATTATCCGGCCCTCCAGTTGAATGAACGCCTTACCACTAAAAGACATGAACTTCATCATCTTAACCGTGCCGGCATTTTCTGTTCATTTTTCAACTTTGACTTTCTGTTTTACAACTCTTAACTCAATTCCATTCATTGTTGCAAGACGTAATTATACATCTCTCAAACCCAAAGTTGTCCTTGGCCTTTTCCTTGTTTTCATCTGTCGTGCGGTACCATGTAATTATTGTCTTTTCCCCCCTCGCAAACATTCCTTCAACTAAACTGCATCCCATCTCCCTCTCTTTTTTTTTTTTTTAATTGACTTGCATTATATCATTCAGCGCAGATTTCATATCAGGTTCTCAACAGATGTCATTCCAATGTTCTTTGTCCATTTTATGTCAAGTTGGGAATGTTGGTCCTTATTTTTCCCATGTTCTGTCCTCCTCATAGGCTCCAAATGATGGGCCTCCTCCTCTACCCAGCTCCTCTCTACCAGAAGGTTACTATGAGGAAGCAGTGCCTTTAAGCCCCGGCAAAGCTCCGGAATACATTACATCGAGTGAGTGCTGTGCACTTTCACATCAAACCCGTCGATCCACTTTTTTATTTTTTTATTTCGATCTGACGACTTCCGCTCGCAGACTACGATTCGGACGCTATGAGCAGCTCGTACGAGTCATACGACGAGGAAGAAGAGGACGACAAAGGTCGGAAGACACGCCACCAGTGGCCCTCCGAAGAGGCCTCCATGGATTTGGTGAAGGATGCCCGGATCTGTGCTTTCCTGCTACGTAAGAAACGCTTTGGCCAGTGGTCCAAGCTTCTCTGCGTCATTAAAGATAACAAACTTCTGGTGAGGACTGCTCCTTTAAAATCATTGCTTCATTATAAAATTAAAGTAAAACCACTGCGGCAAGGTGACAAAATTGATAAACTGATTATGTTATGTGGAAACAGGCACAGATTTAATGTCCTTTAAAGTAAAACTTTCTTTTTCCGCAAGTGCAACATCAGTGCTGTGTTGTTTTTGCCCCACAGTGTTACAAATCATCCAAAGACCACACACCCCAAATGGAGCTGACCCTGTCAGGTTGCAGCATCACCCACATCCCCAAAGACGGCAAGAAGAAACGGCATGAACTAAAGATTGTCCATCAGGGGGCGGATGCCCTGGTGCTTGCCGTGCAAAGCAAGGAGCAGGCCGAGGAGTGGCTTAAGGTAACAATGTGCAACTATGAGAAGGAACAATTATATCAATTTTTTTTTCCAGGATTAAAAAAAAAAAAAAAGTCATAATCTTTGGGGGAAAAAGTTTAATTTTACAACAACAACAAAAATTGAAGTCAGAGTTTAAGGGGCATGAAGAAACATTTTAAAAAGTGAATTATTTAATCATCATCATATGACGCCGTAAGGACATTTTTCTGAGTTGTGACTCTTTATTCATTGCGGGATATCAGATTCTTGGATTTGAGGAATTTTATTGTGATACCAACGCACATTTTCACCTGATGTGGCACAAAAAAATGATACCTGAGGTGCCTAGTAAAATCGCATTCCTCCAGAAAAGTTAACCTGCATCTCTGATTTAGAAAAATAAGGAAAAAGAAGAGTTGTTCTCATATTGTTGTCCATTTTGTTATTCAAAATATGCCTTTCGTCTCTAGATGTAGGCTTATCTTCTCCCAAAAACTGCAGTTTTTTTCTGGAAAAAATTTTGACTCTATTTCTGTCACAATATCCCTTTTGATCTAAAAAGAAAAGACTAATGATGCATCACAGTCATATCAGAGCTTTTATTTGGACCACCGCTAAGATAGGAACAAGTCATTGATGTGTGTTGCTTTGTTTTTTTCTGCCCCATCAGTTTACATATGCAGGTGTGCTCCTTAAAAAAAAATTCAGCATAGTAATTGATCGCAAAATATTTTTTGTGGAGCCCACATGTGACCAACTTTACGAGTCTCGACTTCAGAGGTTCCAGTGGACATGTGTCTGCCGCACTCGCTGTCTGCCAAAGCCATGGAGCCACAGCCTGTCATTTCCCCCTGCAAACATAATTGCCGTATGCTCTCTCGAAGCCAAGAGCAGCGAGCTGAGCGGGCTCTGGCCCGCGCCACAGGAAGATGAGGGTGGACGTGCATCGACCAGCCTCAGTGGCAGATCCAGGTCCGCAGTGCACGAGGGTCACTGTAATGAACGCTGGCGCCCCATGCAGCACTGCAAATCTCATTAACCCTTACTTGGCACGATTGCACCAAGATTCCTGAGCCATTGTGAAACTCGGGGCCACTTAATGTGTGTAGCAGTGGTTTCACTTAGCAGCGTAAAATTTGGTAGGCATGCAACACAAAGACACCGAGAAAAAAAAGTCTCAAGAAGCCATGCCTGAAAAGACGCGGCAAGTCTGCCATTTTGTCTTCTAGCAGCCATTTTAGGATCGTTTTGGTCATTCAGCGGGGTCACAAATTCGGAGGTCATTTCCACCTTGAAAAGCACCGGCTCCAACCTGCAAAAACCCACCATAAAACAATTTTAAAGAATGAGATTATTTTCCTTCCAGAAAGCGTCCTGGTAACTTGGAATAAACGTAACTTGGAATAAACGGAAACCGGAAGCTTGCACGCCTTTATATTTTTCAACGGAAATATGTCATAAGCTGGTGTGCATTAATTTGCATTTGCTTAACCCTGAATAAATAAAAAAAGAGTTTTTTTGTACGTTTCTAGCTTTTATATTTTTTTTCACGTGTTGGTTGAAAAAAAAATTGTGTTTTCATATTTTGAAAAAGTAGGGAACAGATTGTACGGATCTGTTTTCAAAAGTAGTAAGTTGAAGTAACAAGTCATTCGAAAAATAGATACTCAAGTACATATATCTGGAAAAATTCTAGATTGACTCGTGGTCATAAATGTGGAAAATCTCCTGTGAACTCTCCATTTTCCTTCAAAGGCTAGAATACATTTGCAAGCAGACCTTCGTGGACTCTGCTCTGTATACTTATGTAATCTTAATGAATGAGCATCTTAACTCTGTGGAAATATTTCAGGATTCCTAATCCAGCCATGTTTTATGGCCTAACTTTCCGCTTGCCAAGCGAGGCTCAGCACCATATAAACCCATCCGCAATCCGCAGAATGTGTTTCGATTTTCCACTTCTTTTAATGATGATGACAGTCTCTTGTGGCTAATGCTGTGTTACTGTATTACATGTTTCTAGGTCATGAGAGAGGTGTGCGGTAATGGGACATTTGAATTGGATCGCTCTGGATCCCCAGTCCACAAACCTGAACTGGAAAAGGTAAAACCATTAAAATAATAATTATATCAATAATAATTTTACAATCAGCAGATTACCATGTAGGAAGTCAAACTGGACTCAAGAATCGATTCTTTGGCGTCCCACTATGTTTCGACATATCCCGCATTCTTTTACAGGTTTTTAGTTTTTAATTAAAACAATTTTTGGTCCACCATTTTTAGAAATCCTCATGTGACAGGCCAAGTTCAGACGGTGAAGCAACGCACGAGAACGGACATGTCGACAAGGACCATGGTACGTAGTAGCAATATGGAGTTTTGGGGGGGGTGGTGTTGTTTTTGTAATGCAAGGGCTCAGTGTGAATTCATCTATGGCATCCTTCTATGGTGGCATTCCAGGAAAAGGAAAGAAAAATTCCAAGTCAGAGCAGGGCAAGACCGGGACTGTTGGGAAAGGCGCCGGGAAGAAGATCACTAAGATCATCGGGCTGGGCAAGAAGAAGCCATCCATGGATGAGCAGACTTCGTCAGCAGAGGAAGATGTACCCACATGCGGTAAGTTCTGCACTGCTTGCAGTGGTGAAAAATAACAAAGTATAAATACTTTGTTACTGAACTCACGTAGATGTTCCAGGTATCTATACTTTACTTCAGGATTTATATATTGGATGACTTTTAATTTTACTCCCCAAATTTGAAAACATGAATGACAATGACAACACTTTTTTTTTTTTTTTTTTTAACGTATTTGAGACATAAATGGAATGATGCATCACATTCCCAGAAATTCCTCATTTTTACAAAACAAACAGTGGTGGCCTCATACTAGTTTAATTTGAAAAAAGAAACGTGTCAAGTGTTTTAAAGAAAAAAGTAGGCCTACTCTGGAATATTGTGCTTTACAAAATCAGTACAAGATAATTAAAGTAGGCAAGGTAGGCAAGGGACACCCTGAACCGGTTGCCAGCCAATTGCAGGGCACACAGAGACTAACAACAATCCGCGCTCACACTCACACCTAGGGACAATTTTAAGTGTTCAATCAGCCTGCCACGCATGTTTTTGGAATGTGGGAGGAAACCGGAGTCCCCGGAGAAAACCCACGCAGGCCTGGGGAGAACATGCAAACTCCACAGAGGAAGGCCGGAGCCGGGATCGAACCCATGACCTCTCCACTGTGAGGTCGACTGGTCCACCCGAGCCATCCACCACTAGACCACCGAGCCGCCCCATTTAAACAAATGGCATGAATTTCCACAGCATTTCAATTTAGTGTAGCCTCTTCAGCATTCAAATTCCCAAACCGTTATTTCACAACAAATTGATGATTTTACTCATATTGTGCAAAACAGCCCATTGCAATAAGTTCCCAACTTCTGGTTTCCCTTTGAAAGGCTATCTGAATGTGCTGTCCAACAACCGCTGGCGGGAGCGCTGGTGCCGTCTCAAAGACAACCAGCTGCTGCTACACAAGGACCAGGATGACCTGAAGAGCCACATCGCTTCGCTGCCCCTCCGAGGTTGCGAAGTCAGCCCCGGCCTGGACCACAAGCACCCTTTTGCCTTCCGCTTGCTCCGCAATGGTCAGGAGGTGGCTGTACTGGAGGTACTTGAAGCTGTCATCTGCATCAAGGGATTTTTTTTTTCCAATAACATATGGACATAAATGTTTAGAAAAAAGAAAGAAAAGACTTTGTTTCATCAGTCTCATTTCTGTCCAGGCATCTTCCTCTGAAGCCATGGGTCGCTGGCTGGGGGTCTTACTGGCCGAGACGGGCTCCACCGCAGACCCGGCCACCTTGCATTATGACTACATTGACGTGGAGACCACCGCCAATGTGATCCAGCTGGCCAAACAATCCCTCTGGTGAGAGATGTGCAACGGGTGGCCCCATCAGAAATCAAACTAGCCAATTGCCTACAGTCAGAATTGTTGAAACTACTTATTAATATTTCTTCCAGTTTTACCAGTAAGCGTGCAGTCTCCCCTAACCCATACTTGGACAATCCAGTCGGCAGCTATGCCTGCCCCAGCGGGATGGCTCTGCACTACCATGACGTACCCATCAATGGAATGGTAAGGCTCACGTTTCACCCTTTCCCATAGGAAATAATGGAAATAATTCATTCCATTTGGGGTGATGGAAGAGAGAAGAGAAGTGGTCATTTCAACTCACAAAATAAAGTCTCCAAAAACCCGTCTGAATAGACCACTTGGTCTTCACTTCACAACATGAAATTTGGTAAGAATGTCAATCATGAGCAGACTCACAAAAAAGTCTCAAGAAAGCCATGCTTGAAAAGGCTCTGGAAGTTGGCCATTTTGGTCCAACACAGCCATTTTGACCATTCACTCAAATTTGAAAATTCAGCCTTGAATCCTGTTGCTCGAAGCAGCATGAAATTTGGTAGGCATGTCAGTCATGAGGTGACCCACAAAAACATTTCAAGCAGCTATGCTTATAAACACAAAGAAAGTCCACCATTTTGGTTGGAAGTGGTCGTGCGCCCAACCAGATTTGGTTAAAAAAAATCCATAAATAAAAAATGTGCCCGCCAAAGCTAGTTTCACTTAGCAACATGAAATTCGGTCGGCATGTCAATCTTGAGCAGTGCCACAAAAAAAAGCCCTCAGAAGCCATTTCCGAAAAGACAAAGGAAATCAGCCATTTTTTTAAGCTGACAAACTTGCTCTATAGGGTTTAGCCAGTGGCTATTTTGACTTTCAGATTTGAAGCTCGTAGACAGGACACATGGACAACACTTAATCCCTAAAAATGTGCCTTTTTGTCACTGTGTGGGGTCTGAGCTTGACAACTAAATTGGATGACTGGCACTGATGGGCATTCGGTGTGAGGCCCCCTGTCCAAAAATGCTCATAATCTACTAACATTTCTTCTTCTAACACCCTTCTATTCCCTTGCATCTTCTCTTTGCTTCCACTGTTGGCATTAATGTGCAGCACTCCAGTCCCAGCACAGGTGGAAAGGAAGCGCACGATGAAAACTCCTACGAAAACGTGCCCTCCGGCACGCTGACCGTCTCAACAGATCACTATAAGACGCCTGTTTCGAAAGTCTCTTCTAAATTCCTCACTGCTGATACTAAAACCAAAGCTGCTACTCAGGTGACTAACATTGCGTGACACTTTTGGCTATTAACATTCCAATTAAAAAAAATGCTCTTGCTAAAAAAAAATCTTAACAAGCTTTTCCTTTCACTTGAACCTCTTTTCAATCAGAAAATTTGCAAAAAAGAAGACAGGCCAGAAGATATCGGCCTGTGACTTTTACATGAGATAGCAGTAAAAGTGTACGCTTTCACGAGGCATCACTGGTCATGAAAGCCAGCTTTTTACAGGGGCTAACACAAATTCAGGAATTTGCATGTCTAACTTGTCCTGTATTCTTTGTGTTGCAAGTATTATGCGCATCACCACCAAGTTGCAGCTCCAATAATAGTGCCGAAAGCTGGAAAATTGCCTTCCCGATGTCATCCCTGCCGGGGAATTATTATTACCAATAATAATTCTGTGATATGTGACTGGAATTTATGATTATTTTAATAATCAAATGAATCTGTTGATTTTGTTGTCGATTAATCAAATTTATTTTTTAAAATGTGATTTACTTAAGGGTTTGTAAGATGGAAAATTTTCAAAAATGTTGACTTGTTTTCGAAAGTCAAAGCATATCTTTGCAAAAGGTTGCAAATGTCTTATTTTGAAGGGAAACCCCCCACAAAGATAATCTTCTGTCCGCTTTCATGGAGGACTGCAGAAATCTGAGAATATTTACTGTTGAGAGGCTGACATTCTGGGGATTTGGATAATTTAAAGTTTAAAAAGGTCTCCAAACGATGAATCAATAATCAAAACGTATTATTGATTAATTTGATAAACGATTAGTTGTCAGTTAATCATTGCACCTCTACTGTGTTCTGTTCCAACTAGTTGAAGGGAAAGAAGGGAACCACAAGCAATGGGTTTGCATTCAAACAGAAGGCAGATCCAAGAAGTCAGCAAAAGAAAAACGGAGTCGCTGGTATGAACGGGACAATGTCACTGAAACGCAATAACTCCAGTAAGTACCACGAAATGTATTATACTTGGTTCCACTCGAATAAACATTCCGTCTCAATCCGAGGTACGTGTAAGTTAACAATAACAAATATGCGTCTATGAAGACTGCGATTGGCTGGCAACCAGTTCAGGGTGTACCTTGCCTACTGCCCGAAGACAGCTGGGATGAGCTGCAGCACGCCCGGGACTCTTGTGATGATAAGCGGATTAGCAAATTGATTGATGGATGTCTATGAAGATGAAAGAGATGAAATGCTGTTTCTGTCAATGATTATTTGATTTGAAGGGAGGTGGAGAAACGGCAGTAAAAGAGGCCAAAATATATATGTCAAATAACCTATTTGACCTGACTGTGCCGTGTCAAATTTAATCTGGATCCAGACTGGCTACAATTGAAATTTACCGTGGCAAATTGTAAAATTGTAAAAAAATATTTACACAATTGCATCCCTTTTTAAATCTCCAAACAGAACCGAATTTACTACATCAATGTAGGGTTCAAATCTACCATGTCAAATGTAATCTGGATCTCATCCAAAGTGCGTCCCTGGCACCAGTTTCAATCTAATTTGTGTTCCAGATGCAGAGCAATGTAAATATGGGAAAAACCGCGTGGAGGCGGATGCCAAGCGGCTGCAGGCCAAAGACGACGAGCTGACCAAGAAGAAACTCGACATCAGGAACCATCTGACCGCTCTGAAGAAGGAACGCAAGGACCTGCGCAGCGCAATTGAGGCAGCCTCAGGTGAGACGGAGCATAGAGCCCTGCCTACGGGTCCAAAACGACTTCAGCGTTGCCTCACTATATGGCGGCTCATCTGTCCCCGTCCCGCTCTGTCGGCACGTTTATAGCCATCAGAAATATGAACTCCGTTTGTGTTCAAATTCCCGTTGCTTCAAGCATTATATCACCGCCTCATAGATGCAGTTCGTTTGCCCGTTGGTGGTGTTTCCATTAAGCATTAGCATTAAACTAGCGAATTTAAAGGTAAAATGATCTCGTTTTAAAAACACAATGTGCACTTCGAATAACGTTCAACTGATTCGTCCCAACAGGCAAGCGATCGCAGGCCTCCCTGTCGGAACGTCTGAAGAAGGTGGAGGACGAGTGCAGGCAGAAGGAGGAGGAGCGAGTGAATCTGGAACTGGAACTGACCGAGGTCAAAGGCAGCCTGAAGAAGGCCCTGAGCGGAGGGGTCACCCTGGGCCTCACCATCGAACCCAAAGCTGCTCCGGCAGCGGTCCAGGTCACTATGCCTACATAACAGCTTCAAATCGATATATTTGCTGTATTTTTGTTCTTTAGTTAGTTACACCTGTATTCACACAAAATTGTAACTTCATTTTGACTTTGTCTTTTTTCATTTCAATATTGAGATGTTTATTTTCTTGTAAAGTTACTGGTTATCCTTCTCCTAAAAGTATGACTTTTTCATGTAAAACTCCGTATAGTAAATGACAGTTTTATTTTTACAATATTGTCTTTTGCATCATAACATTGAGTTGTGTGTTCTTCTCAAATTAAAAACAAAATTCTTCCGGAATTACCGCTCTTTTCAGGTAAAAGTACATGTTGTGACTTTGGGATTTTTCTTGCACCATCGCAATATTTTTCTCTACATTTTTGTTCTCATCAAGAAATGTAGCTCGGTTGCTTTTTCTGACTATTGTAATGCAATGGCAACCATGCGCTGCAATAGATGAAATAGTATTATGTGTACATCCGTTTGCACGTGCAGTATTCTAGTTACCAAGTTCATCCAGTAACTGATGTTTCTCCCTGGCGATGTTGCACTGCAGTCACCAGCGTCATTACGACGGGTCCAGGAGTCTTCGCCCTTTTCCAGCTGCGACACCAGCGACACAGAGACCTGCTCCCTGCCCGTGAACAGCGCCTCCCTGCTCCGCCGGCAGCAGGGCCTCCCCAAGGCCACGCCAGTCCGAGGACACGTCCTGAGGAAGGCCAAGGTCAGCGGTAACACAAAGACAAAAGGAATCGCGACGATAATAAAGTAGTGCCTGTTCAATTGTTGCAAATCATATTTTGTAAACTAAAGAAATGTTTGTTTGTTTTCCAGGAATGGGAGCAGAAGAGTGGAACATAGAGCCCTTGAACTTGCTCTTAGGTTCTCATCTTTAGGAGACATTGCATATGTACGGTATTTATTTGAGATGGTCCTTACACACTTTTTTTTCAACCCCCCCCCCACACACACAGCCTCCAAAAAAAAAAAAAAAAAAACAAAACAAAGAAATTATGGTTTTCAGACACTTTTCTTCTGCATGTTTAATGTACATACTGTTTCTGTGCGTATTGTGTCACCTATTTGTGCTTTTTTTGCTCAAATGTTTCTCTCCACATTCCAAATCCAATATTTATTTGTAAATGTTTCCAGAAAAGAGGTTGTAGCTTCCTTCTATTTATGTTGATATATTTAAAGTATATATGTCGAAAAGGAATTTCTTTACACCGCAGGTTTCCCACACTTAGTTAGACCCTTGCAGCGGAGACATTTTGGGTCCAGACCCAAATTTTAGGAAAACTTCCTTAACATGTTCCTACTGGTGCTTTATTTGGAACACTTATCGCTCTTAATCGCTCCCAATTACAACCAGTCTGAAAAGAAAAAAAAAAGTTGCATAAATACTTGACCAATCACAGTTCCTTGTCCATTCCGTTTTTATTTTACTGACGCGATGATAATACTTTATTTTAATTTCACATCGCCATAGTTGGCATTTTATGAGGAAAAATAGTCTTGTTTTTACATTAACACAACGAAACGAATACTCATTTACAGAGAAAAAGAAAAAATTCGGAGATCAAGTTTTAATTTGGGGAAAATAGTACAAGATAAAAAATTGCAAATTGAAAAACAAGTTTACAATTTCCGAAAGGGAAAAAAAATCTCGATTCACAAAGTAAAACACAAACTTCAAAGATTGTTGCAATTTTACGAGAATTAAGTTTTCACTTTATGAGAATGGAGACCTAATTTTACAAATGGAAAAAAAATCTTTATTTACAAAGTAAAAGACAAAATTTGGAGATAAAGATGTCATTTTACCCGAAAAAGTCAAAATTTCAACATAGAGTTGAAATTTTACCAGAAACAAGTCTTCATTTAACTATAATTAAGGCTGGGTTTAAAACATGAATGAATTGAATCGAGTTTCATTTTCATAGCTCAATTTTGATTCATAAAATCTTAAACTGATCCTTTTAATGCATATTTTTCCCACATTTTCAAGTGACTTCTCCCCTGAGGCGAGATCTCGTCACCTCGCGAGAGTAGCGTATCACAACAACACACGGTGGAAAATCTGAAAATCAGTGCCAACAAGCTTGAAGGCAGATGTCGGGAAGTTTTTTTTTTTTTTTTTTTTTCCTTTTTGTTTTGTTTTAAGAATCATACATGTATAGACAGCAATCAACTGAAAACCCTGCGAGACAATCACAGGAATGTGAATGTCAAGAGTTTACAGTGTGTTTCCACCACTTTATTGACACCGCCTGCCCTCTGGTTGAAATTGATTTAAATTATTGATTGTTTTGATCAGTTCATTTTCAATAAAACATACATCATTAATGTACCTGCATTGGGTTTAATTCTTATTCATACTAATGCAGCAGGTTAGAAGTTTATACAATTTGCAGCATTGCTTATTCTGAGAAATTCTTCCATATTAAAGTTTGATTGGGTACCGCGTGAAATCCTTAAGTGAATCAAAAGGCAAAGAGAATCGTAAATCGAATAGGGCCCTTGTGAATCGAATTGAATGGAAATCTGAATCGATACCCACAATGAACAAAAATCCAATGTTAAAAAAAAAAAATAGGAAATTGATTACAAATAAAAGTTTGGAGATAAAGTTGTCATTTGGGAGAATCTCACCTGAAATAACGCAATATTACAAGGAAAAAAATCGCATTTATCTTTTCAATGTGGCCCTAATGGTCCTTGGTTGTCTTGTAAAAAAAAGATAATATTTAGTCAGTTTGAAAAGTTTAATGCTGTTAGCATGATGTGGCTTTTTTCCGCCAGTAAATGTGAACCTCCCATATGTAGCATAGCTTAGCTGATCAGATAGGTTTGGGGAGAAGTAAGTTTGTCCTATTTGTTTATTTGTGTGTTTGTTTTTTTTGCACCTTATAAATGTTGTACTTTATTTCATCTTGGACAGTCGTCACCTTGATGACGGTAACATGCTTTGTACATAGTTTGAGAGACCTGTGTTTACTGAATTATATCAATAAATATCTTCTTAAATTGCCTCATTGCTGTTGTGAATTCATGTACAAAAACACAACACCTTTATCAATCAATCAATCAAACTTTGTTTATGGAGCAGTTTTCATCCATATAAATGCAACTTAAAGTGCTGTGCAATTAAAACTTCAAAATTACAACAAAAAGAGGACCCCCCCAACATACACAGACATATATCCCCCACAAGCATGCCTATGCTTGCACACACATTTAGCTATATATTATATTACAAATCACTATATTATATGCTATACTGTACATTTTACTCGATACAGTAGAGTACTTCAATAGAAGGGATAAGCAAAGTAATATTAAAATCTGCTTATTCAAACAGTAAAACTAAAAATCAAGTCTCATGCTGAGTCAAAAGCCAAAGAATAAAAATGAGTTTTAAGACGAGATTTAAAGATGAGTAGCGAGGGGCATTGCTGAACGTTCAATTGGAGGTCAATCTAAAGAGAGGTACCAACAACGGAAAAGGCTCGATCCCTTCTGAGCCTCCGCTTTGTTCTTGGTACTGTACCTCTAATCGTGTGTGGTCCGCAGACCTGAGGCACTGGGCAAGTGAGTTGGAGTGGAGGAGCTCCTCCTTCCCTCCTGTTCTGTTTGCTCCACCCTAATACAGAAACCATATCCCTGTACTCCCTTTTGTCTCACTCTATATAGGAACTACGGTTGTATAAGGTCAATTCCTCATACTATCAAATTGTAATTTTTCTTGTCTTTGTAGGGTATTCATTTAAATATAGTTTTTTTTATTTGATTTACAAATCGTTTTTTACTGTTCTTATTTATTTAACAAAACGTCCCAACTTAGTTGGAAATCGGTTTGTGTGTGTGTGTGTGTGTGTGTATATATATATATATATATATATAAAATTTTTGTTATAGTAAGTTAAATTAGTCTTGATATGTGTGGATTCTGTGTACAGTATTGTGTTGGCATTTCCTCTCGGAACTGGTCGCGTGACGCTTTTGCTGCGCGACAGCCTCGAAGACATGATGACGAGAGCTGCTCTCATCTGTTAGCTGTTGAAGCCAAATGAGACGTTTCACTTTTACGTTTGGCGTTATACGGAGACTAAAGTCGTCCTCATCGATTGTTTGCTGAATATAAACCGTCGCGTTGAGGTTTTCCGACCGAGGAGGCGTCAGTGGGTGCTCTCCAGTCTCCCGATAGTCCCACACACCTGCCTTCATTCAATGAAGTGTTAGCATCACACTTAGCATCTGGATTTTTTTTCACAAAAAAAGGCACACCTTCGACACGCTTCAGCATCCTCCGGACACACTTTTATACAACATCGGTGACCAAACGGTAAGGGTGCGCTTCTGCCGCGTAGCTATGCCTCACAGAGATTACGGTACGACTCAAAAAATATATATAAATGCTAACCAGATAGCATCCCCGGCGTTGCTAACGACAACATGGCTAACCTGCCGCAAAAAAATTAAATAAGCAAGTGGATGTAAGTAATCAGGCGACCCCCCCCCCCATACACACACACACACACACTGGTTTTTTTTCGTGATATGCCGCCGCTGTTGCTTTATCGGGTACTTCTCATGGATTGAAAATGTGGTTTCCATCGAAGCTTCTCTCGGCTAATATTAGCCTGCTGACGAATTCTTAAGTATTTCTTTATTATATCCCAGTTCGAGCACAAATGTTGTTCATTTGTTATTTTTTGACTGAATGTGTGAACATCAGGGCTTCTCAAAGCTTTTTGGTACCGGGGTAAATTCAGTTTTAATCCTACCACCACCTAAACATCAGTGCTCTGTGTACGCCTAAATAGCATCGAATTAATTATTTGATTGGATTTTTTTTAAACCACTTTGAATATTCCCCGACCTGTGTAATATAAAGCAACCCAACTAAATTATATAGGACTACATTCAATATTTATCACTTCTTTCTTTCTGTCTTTTCTTTCTTTCTCATTCCTCCCTTGGTACCATTCTTCCATATATAATTCTTTAAACCCTCCCTTGCTTCGTTGCTCCATCATTCCTTCCACAATTCTTTTTCCTTCCATTCAACTTCCGTGCCTTTATCTGTCCTTCCTTGCTTCCCTCCATTCTTCTTTAGTCCTTCCATACTTTGTTCCCTCCACGCTCCCTTCCTTTTTCCATCTTTCCTTCCACTCTCCTGTCATTTCCTTTCAGTTCTTACTTCAATCAAGTTTTCTTCTCACTCCTTTTTTGAGCAGCACGTGTAGAGCGATTTCAAATAGTGACATGGAGATGTCTTTTCCTTTTTTTTCTTTCTTTATTTGTAAAAATCTATCACACGGTTGTTTGATTTCTCAGAATAAAAATGTTTGTGCCAGCCTGTTCAAAAACAAATGTAAAAAAATCCAGTCAATCAATCGATCAATCTCCCTTCCTTCCTTCCTTCTTTTTTTCTTTTTGGTTCCATGAATATGATTATATGAAGATATTAGTATAATATAATACAAAAAGGCAACATACAAAATCAACTAATTCTGCAACAAATGCAAAAAAATGTATATATTGTTTTGAACTTTATAATTGCCTTTCGGTTTTTACTTATTGTTTTTGTGTGTAGGTGACGCGCTGGCGCAGGTTGCGGGGTGTCCGTGGATAATGCGAGACAGTGGGGGTAGCCTGACCCAGAACCGCTGGCAGGGAGATCTGGGTCTGACTGCTGTGGGCCAGGAAGACACAGGAGGAGGTAATTTTTTAGGTGCTAATTTTGAATGATTAGGTGCCAGGACAATCTGGTCTGGCACATCAATGGCCACTTTGTTGCAGATAAGTGTCTGATTTTTTTTTTTTTTTTTCCCATCTGTTGCAAAGGGATGTTGTCACCCTAGAAAAATCCAATGTAGAATGCCTTCAGGCAATGTTACTATACTGATACAAACATGAATAATATTGTTTGTGATTGTATGGTACACATTGAGGTGCTGTTTTCTCTGAAAAGTTTGTACAAAAATGGACGGGGTCGGGCGGAACAAACCTTAAATTTGATGGCATTTTGAAAAGAATTTTGCATCATTCACTGGATAATATTGAAAGTGCAAATTGATCAACCATGCTATCGTACATCATGCAATTCTTTTTTTTTTTTTTTTTTTTTTTAAAAAAAGCATAAATGTCTTCCCCCAAAACGTTAATGAAAAAGATGACAACATTGTCCCGGTGTCCGACCATAGCATTCCCAGCCCCATGCATCTCCGCCTGGGTCAGAAAGAAAGGGTGTGGAGCGGCGAGGATGACGTGGATGAGGACGGGATGGGCCAGATCAACGCCGAGGATGCTGACGATGAGTTTGAGGGCGGCTGCTGGGAGGAGAATGAGGAGGATGAGGAGGAAGAAGTAGAAGAAGATGAGGATGAAGAGCAGGCAGCTGTGGTGGACTGGGACATGGCAGACTTTCCCCCCCAGTCCACCCAGCATTACCAACACGCAAACTTTGGAGTGTCACTAAAGGATGAAGATGTGAGGACGGAGGAAGACGCAGCGGCACCAATCCCCCAGACTGCAACGAGACGGCAGACGTCGGAGTCCCACCTACACAGATTCTGGGCTCTACAGCGTACCCGGTCCCAGCGCCATCACCGATTCTATGGCGTCCTTGGTTCTCGGCTGAGCCAGCACTGGAAGAATTGGCGGCAACGGGCCCAGCGGGTGTACTCCCTTGGCCTCCGCTGGGGCTTGAAAGGACAGATGTACAATTGTTACAGCAAGCCGAGGAGGATAAAAGGCTATCGTCCATCGCTGTACACTGACGACGATATCAGCGACGATGAGAGATTCACAGAGGCTGGTAGAGGTACTGAAATACGCTGAATTAACCTGACCTGCTGCAAATCCCACAACAGTCTCGGATGGGTCACATTGTAACAATTAAAATCAGACTACCATAAGTCATTGTGGTGGTTAATACAAGACTACTTGAACTCCCCCAAGAGTTGTACTAGTTGAAAAGACTTGTGTAAAATTGCCCAGAAGTTGGACAAAGACCAAATGTAAATGTTTGTCATCTCCTTTGTGCAGATAAACAGATGAGCAGCTGCTCACCAGACAGGTACGGGGACCGAGGCAGACGGGAAGTGGAGGAAAAACAAGCAGAGCCGGCGCTTTCTGAAGAGCACGTGAGCTGTGTAACAGGTCAGCGTCCATTACCTCTTTTGCGCCGTTGATCCGTGTTTACGCTTATTTTGCTCCAGCCACGCAGCATCCCGCAATCTGATAAATCTGGTGTCTACTTGTCATGGCACAGGTATTCTGGAAGAATCCCTGCAGAAATACGGCAGTTTGATCCCAATCCACGTCGAAGACATCGTGGAGCGGCTTCAGGACATCTTCAGTGAGAACTTTGCACAGCCACACAGGTTGGACGCACTCCGTAAACTTGTTGTTTGTTGTCCCATGTAATCTTAAGGATTCTCTGTCTCCGTCTCTACCTGGATGCTGTTTAGGAAAACCATGGTCCAACATTTGATACAATCCTTCCAGCGTTCCTCGGGATCAGCTCTGGCCAAAACCTTCAGAGTCAACTACAAACGTCACGTTCTTACCATGGATGACCTCGGCACGCTCTATGGACAGAACTGGCTCAATGACCAGGTATGACCACAAGCAATAAACCTTCGGCCTGAAAAGTCACTAAATTTATTCAAGTAACTCAAAGATGACAATTCAGGACCCTGCCAGGGGCATAAAGCCCCAGACAACTTAGCTCCGAAAATCATTGCGACACCAAAACTAAAATCCCTCCACCACAGTCAGGTGACGGCTCATTGAGGGGCCAAGACTTTAAGCATTTAATTCTATTTGCATCTCAGATCATATTTCCCTCTTGAAATGAATGGAAATCTATTCAAGTGCCCCAAAAACACCAACCATCTTTGTAATCTGTTAGTTAATGTGAGAAATGGCACTCTACAGTTTTGTGTGTAAGCTTTCCGTCACATCAGAATCTAAAGTGGGCATTGAACTGCTCATTCAAGTGTATGCGCCTTGGCCGCTAGGGGGCAGTATAACACATGTAGACATCCTACGCACAGATTTGATGATGAAACACAGAATAAGTCTTTTTTGGTCGGGAAACAAGGATGGCTGTGGGCATGTGTATATATGATTAACCCTAACCTGACCATTAACTTGCTCATTTATAGGTGATGTCCCCCGACAGAAGTTTGTAATGTTTGTTCTTTGCTTGTTTTGTTCAGATTATGAACATGTATGGCGACCTGGTCATGGACTCAGTTCCAGAGAAGGTGCGCACAGACCAATTCAAACCTGTGAGGTTTCCACCAGGATTCCATTACGGTGTGTCACAAGGTGATCTCTGTTTTTCTATCCTCGCTTTAGGTTCACTTTTTCAACAGCTTTTTCTACGACAAGCTAAGGACAAAAGGCTACGAAGGAGTCAAACGATGGACGAAAAATGTAAGGGAACGCTATTTGAATAGTGAAACCAGATGATTCGTGTACATTTATGGCTCCCTTCCTGCCAGGTGGATATCTTCCAGAAGGATCTGCTGTTGATCCCCATCCACCTGGAGGTTCACTGGTCACTGGTCAGTGTGGACATTCCCCGGAAAGCCATCACATACTTTGACTCCCAGCGGACCCTCAACAGACGTTGCCCCAAGGTGGCATACCAAAGCCAATATTTTGCTCACCAAACATTAGACGCCGCAGTCTCTGCTGCTGCTATGTTGAGAACCGTAACATAGCACGACAACATCATAAGCGTTTTGCACGTGAAACCCTCACGCTGCCTGACCCCAACTCTGTTTGTGTGCTTTTTCTTCCCGACCCCCAGCACATTTATAAGTATCTGCAAGCGGAGGCCATCAAAAAAGACCAGCAAGAGTTTTTGACCGGCTGGAAAGGCTTTTTCAAAATGGTGAGACACATGATCGTTTTTTTTATATACCTGAACCGACTGGTTCATGCGACGCTTCAGTCGCTTTGATGTGTGTTACTCAGACTGCAAGGGCTGTGTGTTTTCAGAAGGTGGGCCGACAGAACAATGACAGCGACTGCGGGGCGTTTGTGTTACAGGTAAGTCCATGATGGTTCCCCCAAATATTCAGCAGGTTCCATCATGTTTACATGCAGTCAATATTTAGGTTTAAGTCAAAATTCTGGTTTCTGGAACATTCTGAATAACCTGTTTAAATGTGTGAGCGGACAGAGTTACTCCCGCATTTTAGTATCCCGATTAAAACGGCTACACGTGGACAACATTCATACAAATAGATGTAATTTCCGCTTGTTCCTTTCTATGGCACTCACCGCCGGAATAAAGCAGTCGGTTTCCTCCTCGCTTCAAAAGTGGGCTGCATCTCTTGAGTTTTGCCACGATTATTTACCTCTGCTTGTGTAATTATGGCGAGCTGCGCGCCTGATGTACGGACTCATATTCATATGTACAATGTGTGTCGATATACACAGCTTGTCAATTTTGGAGGAGAGACAAAAATAATGTGAAAATGCTGCAGAGAATTACATGTATTCAAGTTAGGCTCACTCAGCGAGTAGCAACGTAAAACTGCCGCCGGTGGCTTCACTTCTCGCGACACCAAGTAGCATCGCTGCACATACAAGTAGTTACTGTGCTCCAAAGACAAAGTCCTTGCGATATAGAGCATGTGCACAACACAAATTGTTGCCCTGTTCAAAGGCGTTTTTATGATATTCGGGTTAGAAAAGGGGTAACCCAGGGGTCTTACTCAGGTTTTTATGAACGTACAAGGCCTTTGATAACCCGAATACTACCAATATTCGGGTTTTAAAAGGGCTATTGGAGCATGTAAACATGTTCACTATCCTGATGTCTCATTCCAAGGGACGAGTGGCCACTTACACAGATGAACAGCGTGGTAGAATGCAAAACGGCCGTTCACATTTATACGGAGAAATCGCACCAACACTTTGGAGCTGAAAAAGCCTTTTGGGTTAAAGTTAAAGCGGCTTTCACAAACCAGAGTCAGTTGCCAGGATTTACTGAAGTAAATTTGTTTTGTTTTAATACAGTGGTACCATGACCGTGCAAGCTTAATTTTAGCATCTTCTCCATGCTTGTGTTTTTTTCATTTTGAGTTGGTGTGCTTTACTATTAATCCCCTTTAATAAATAGCTCAGAATCAGAATCATCTTTATTGGCCAAGTATGTGGAACACACAAGGAATTTGTCTCCGGTAGTACACGCTGCACTAGTATCATCATAAACAAGGACATGACAAATTAGTATGGACACTCATCGTAGATCATCGCAACCATCTTGTGGATTCTTCAGTGGAAGCTATTCATGTAGATAACCCCCCGAAAAGTTCTCACTTTCTTTGCTGAATCATGTCGGAGTGTACAAAGTGCATCCGTGAATTCCACCCCCCCCCCCCCCCCCCCCCCCCCCCCACCACTTTTCAGGAGATGCAATTGGACGGAAGTCTAAACAACCAGCTTGACCGCTGAAGTAACATCTGTGCCACCCAGCGTTCGGAGGCAGGCAGTTTAGCCAAGTTGGACTGACTACTTGTCTGTTTTTGCTTTCCACCGCCACAACTGTACAGTACTGCAAGTGTCTGGCCCTGGGGCAGCCGTTCAGCTTTGGTCAGCAGGACATGCCTCGCCTGCGGAGGCAAATGTACAAAGAACTTTGTCACTGTAAGCTCACCGTGTGAATCCCACCCCTACCGTATCCACACCAGCCACAGAAAGATGGAGGGGGCCTGGGGGGAGCGCCCCCAGACAGAACACTCATCATAGATCGTCGCAACCATCTTGTGGATTCTTCAGTGGAAGCTATTCATGTAGATAACCCCCAAAAAAGCTCTCACTTTCTTTGCTAAATCATGTCAGAGTGTACAAAATGGCCAATGGTTCATCCTCATACCAGTTATATTGACAGAGCAGGGGTTGGGAACCATTTTGTAATCAGCCCTGCAAGCATTTACTGCCCGTAACATATAACAAATTTCTGTCTTACTTTTTCTAAAGTTTGAATTTATTCAAAAGGTTCCCCAGGCCTGTGCTGACAGCTCAGCTGCAGTTTCCAACACTTTTTTTTTTTTGCCATGTGACGTGTCCTTTATTGAGGTAATTTTTACTTTGCATTTGTTTTGTTTTTTTAAATATGGGTTCATGTCAAAAAATATATTGCTATGCTTTGACAACTGTTTACACAGGAGGAATACTTTATTATTGAGGGGCAAGAATAAATTGGCTAGATTTTTTTTTCAGTCAAGCAAGTATCCTCCGTAAAATGTTTTGTAACAAAATACGTTTAGCCCCTGCTATCCCCTCCTTAAAGTTGTGATTCAAATGAGTTGACTGTTTTATATATCTTCTACAATGCATAATGGTTGCTAGAAATAAAAAAAAAACTAAAACTCGGCTTATGGATATTTGTCTGTTTCTGTAGTGGAAGGAAACCAATACAAATCACTTCTCGTGTAAGGACAATGCATTGGAGTGTGTGGTTTAGCTGAGTTTTTTTTCTCTTCCCTCCCCCGACACTGGGATGCACCATTTGAGGTGGAACTTTACCCAAATGAGGACTCGCACGATAGAGAATGGACGCACGTGTGCCCCAAGCAAAACTGGCCCATAGGTCACAAGTGACATCATAGAGGTTGTTTTTCAACACTGGCCAACGCAGAACTCTTGCTGTTAGATGTACAGGTACTTCAGGAAGCACAGATACCTCCTATTGGTGAAAGGATAATCGGAACAATGAATGTAGTCAGTGTTGTCTGCGGCCTGAGAAGAGAAAGACTTTGACATAGGAACAGAAAAACATCCAGACATAAAGCATCAAATACAGTAGATGAATAGGAAATAGTAGTATGTAGGTTTTGGTTAATTGTTTAAAAAAAGCGGGGGGATGAGGCGGTTACGATATCGACTCCTGTGCTCTTATACAACATACAAACTGACTGAATAAAAACGCCAATGTATCAAAGATATAAATCGTGATTATTTACCTCATTCAGAGAATAAGACTACAAACGATTCTTGGCGCGGAGGAGAGAGTGGAGCTATTTTTTTAAATGCCTCGCTAAGAGGAAATTACGTCATTTACACAGCTTCTGGCCCACCCGTTTTAACTCTGACGTATATTTGGACCAATCACAAGCCGCTGTAGGCGGGACTACCTGTAAATGACGGCGGCCTGTTTCAATGAGAAAGCTTAGTTGTGCAGTCGACGTATATAAGAAAATTTCCCCGTAGTTTCTTTCTTTGAGATAATGTCGGCTAACAACGATGATAGGTAAGGACTTTTCGTCTGACGAAGCGAGTTGAACAAACTTGCCGGAAGAGATTTTCCTCAATAAGTGTCACAAGCGTCTCTCCTTATATGTGTATTCTTGTATTGTTTTACATTTAGCGAAAATCGTCTTGTTAAACGTAATATGATTATGAGTTTGTGTTGGGGCCTATTAAGGGCACAAAGCTAAATAATCCTCACGAAATGTGCCGGTTTTCGCCATCTCGGTGTTCGCTTGTTTCAATTTGCGATTTTCTGATTGTTTGACCTGTCAGCTGTTTATTCTCTAGTGCTTTAAGCACGTACTTGTATTGAGCTACCGCTTAGGCGTGAGCTGAAGCTAATGTCGCCGGGTGGTGTAGCATGTGACTGCTTGTGCCTCTCGCGGTAGGTTAGGCCTCCTGCGGAACAATTTTATAATCCGCAATCACTGTCGCGCTATCAGCAGGTTCATCGGAAAATCTGTGTGAAATTGCCACCTGTACTTCGTCGCCCGTTGACTCGGAGGTCTGATGTGATAAAAGGAAATATTTTGGCTTTTTCGCTGGGTGACGGTGGCACATGTTGGTGGCGGACACGCCTGTGATAACAATGCCGGAAGAGTAGGCCGCATTCCGCCGATCGTGAGGAAAATTACACTTTGTTTCTTTTGTTTATGCGGGAGTATAGTAGGATTTTTTTTCTTTTTTTGGGGGGGGGGTGATTGCTGACTCAGCAGCACCGACGGTGATGCTGAAGCTACACGAAAATACAAGAATGGGGTGCTCGAAAGAAAAGTTAGCGCCGAGATGTTAAACAATTAGATTTTCTTGTTCTTTTGACACACCTCGGGACACAACTCGACGAATTGTAATTTATGGCCGAGTTATGCGGAGTGTAGCTAAATTCTAGGGCTTTAGCAAGGACGCGGTTGATTCTGGTAGCATGCCTCTCTTCTCTACCACGGAGCCACCATCTTGAACGCGAGAAGCTAAAATGGCGGACTTGTTTAAATGGACGTGTGTGATGTACTTAAGTTGCCCCTTTTAATAAATGGTTGATTAAACGTGTAATGAGATTTTACACTTTTAAGAAAACAGTGAGATCTTATCAAAGTTGTTGTCTCTCCACCATTAAGCGTGTAAAGAGACTTTACACCTTTAAGAAAATGGTGACATGTCCTGAAAGTTGTTGTCTGTCCACAGAGACAATGGCCCAGAAGGCATGGAGCCAGATGGTGTCATTGAGGTAAGTTTCAACTTGAGCGTCAGGTGATCCAGACATCAGTTTCGACCGATAACACTTTCTTTTTTTACTCGCCCTACCTGCAGAGCAACTGGAACGATATTGTGGACAGTTTTGATGACATGAACCTGCGTGAGGAGTTGCTTCGGGGAATTTACGCCTATGGTTTTGAGAAGCCTTCTGCCATCCAACAGAGAGCTATTCTTCCTTGTATCAAGGGTGAGTTTTTAGACTGACTTCTCCCAAAATATTTTTATAAGAATAATGGGGTTGAACATCATACATCTTCCTGTCTCTTATTGTGCTTCAGGTTATGACGTGATTGCCCAGGCCCAGTCGGGCACCGGAAAAACTGCCACCTTTGCGATTTCCATCCTTCAACAGGTTGATGTGACGCTGAAAGGCACCCAGGCTTTGGTCTTGGCCCCCACCAGGGAGCTGGCTCAACAGGTAAAGCCTTTAGTTAGGTCACACGAGCACCAGGTTGACCACAGTTGTTAAAATGTCATTCCCATCTGTGCTTTGAATCAGATCCAGAAAGTGGTGCTGTCTCTAGGCGACTACATGGGCGCCAGTTGCCACGCTTGCATCGGCGGCACTAACATCCGCAACGAGTCCCAGAAGCTGCAGGCAGAGTCCCCGCACATTGTGGTGGGGACCCCCGGTCGTGTCTTTGACATGTTGAACCGCAAGAACATCTGTAAGTAGGCCATGCGTCCAAACGTTGCATAATTGTAGAAAAAAGGTTCTGCTTCAAACAATTAAGCTAAATCTTGTTCAATGGATGTTTCATTTTGTATTTTTTCATCTCCTCATATATTGGTCTGTCATCCAGTACGGCCGTGCGTCTCTTTTGCAGTGTCATCCTCTTGAAACAAAACTGACCGCTGCTTAAGGCTTTTATTCTTCTGTGTTGTGGATTAATGTCAGCGTTGTGAGCGAAATGCCCCACTTGAGAAAAGCTTGTCACTTTGTCAGCAATTGAAGTACATGAGCAACTTGCTGTATGGTGATGAAACCCATGCGTGTCAACTGACTCCGGAAGCCTCCTGGTGTGTTGCAACTCTGGACGGCGTTTTGCTGTCCAGAGTTCGTGGCTTGCCAGGGATCCTGAGATGTGATCACACTCACACTTCTGAATACAGCTTAACCCAAATTGCAGTTTATTGTCGCCTTGATGTCAACGGCAGGACATGGGACTGATTTTATTTATTTGTATTTTTAGCTTCTAAATACATCAAAATGTTTGTGCTGGATGAGGCCGATGAGATGTTGAGCCGCGGCTTCAAGGACCAGATTTACGAGATCTTCCGAAAACTGTCCGGCACCATACAGGTCAGATTGCTTCAGGGCTTGGTTTGCGAACCATGCTACTTTAGTTGCTTTTCTGTCTTCACAGCTTTATGCTGATTTTATTCTTTAGGTTGTCCTGCTGTCGGCCACCATGCCGGCTGATGTGTTGGAGGTCACCAAGAAGTTCATGCGCGATCCTATTCGCATCCTGGTCAAAAGAGAGGAGCTGACCCTCGAGGGTATCCGCCAGTTCTACGTCAATGTGGAGAAAGAGGTTAGTGTGGTGGCTGGTGTGAGGTGCCGGGAATGCCGGCTCCTGAATGACCCTTGTACTCTATTCCAGGAGTGGAAGCTGGACACGCTGTGCGATCTGTACGAGACCCTGACCATCACTCAGGCCGTCATCTTCATCAACACACGGAGGAAAGTGGACTGGCTCACCGAGAAGATGCAGTCCAGGGACTTCACCGTTTCAGCCATGGTAAAGCCTCCGCCTCCAAATTGTTTGCCTTCTATGGCCACTGGCTCGTGTCGCCTGTCAGGGTCGTAACGGCGTTGGTGTTTGTGTTGCAGCATGGTGACATGGACCAGAAAGAGCGGGACTTGATCATGAGGGAGTTCCGTTCTGGCTCCAGTCGCGTCCTCATCACCACTGACCTGCTGGTACGTGCCTTCATTTTGCAGACACAACCGCTAGTAAAATTGGGCGTGTCATCCATTTGCAGCGCCTTTCCCCAAATCGCTGCCTTAGATGTATTGTATTCCCTGTGCCTCACTTAACTGCACGGTGTTCAATTGAAACCAGTTCTGTCAATAGTTGAGTCACGGCACGAGAGGTAAAACATGCCCAGGGTTCCCTCTCCTCCCAGCTGTTGTGTTGGTGAAGGACTGAAATTTCCTTGGTAGAGAAATTGCCGTCCGCCCTCCACTGTGCCCGGGCTCTTGTCCTGGATCGACAACTAATTGGCAGACGACATCCCCGCGTGGCGTTCATGGGACAAATATTGAACGATATCCCGGCTGACAACTAGCCCGTGTGTCTCTTACAGGCTCGCGGCATTGACGTGCAGCAGGTCTCTCTCGTCATCAACTACGACCTGCCGACCAACAGGGAAAACTACATCCACCGGTAAGTCGAGCTGTCCCAATCTTTAAATTAACAAGCAAACAAAAATAAAGGTGAGAGGAACTATCAAGGGCCTTTGCAGCCCTGGCAACATTGGGGAACTGAGACATTGGAATTTTGTGGGGGGGGAAATCAGGTCATATTAGATTAGATGTTCAGTTATGACTGGCTACTATAAAAGGCAAAAAATGATGCCAAATTTGAAAGGAACTTAAAAATTGGATTTTTCAAAATTAATAACAATTTGTAGACGGCACATTAAGCTTTTTTTTTAACCGCACAGCTATCTCACCAAATAGTGGTTATTTAGCCAAGCGTGATGTGTGGGCCGAGTTTCATGTATTTTGGCGAATGTTAAGACCAACACAATGTGTCAGACAGAATAAGGTTTTTCTTTTATTTCATATTTTGAACATCTTTAGATGAACCACCCAAAGTTTCAAGACAGAGAATCTCGAAGTTCTTTAGAATGTGCCCCTATAAAAGGCCAAATTTATAATTAAAGTGGTGGACTTCTATAAGGTTTAGAATCTGGAATGTGTGAAATACGAGATTGGTTTTTGTCTGTACATGGCGGTACAGAGCCATTTTGCTTTCATCATTTGACAACTTTTTTTTTGAAAAATCGCCGGTGGGGATGAGTTTGCAAAGTTGGATTTTTCGTCCATGTTCGGGCCCCCAGAAATGCGGTTCTTTTTTGTTGTGGGTGGATAGGTGGCTAATTCTACAAAAACAAACAGGGCCTTGCAGCTATCGCTGCTCGGGCCCTAAAAATTCACCCCAACCCACCCTATTAACCACCTTCCTTTGCCTCTCCATCAGGATTGGCCGTGGTGGTCGTTTTGGCAGAAAGGGAGTCGCCATCAACATGGTGACCCACGACGACAAGCGCATCCTGCGGGACATCGAGACCTTCTACAACACCACCATTGAGGAGATGCCAATGAATGTGGCTGATCTTTTCTAAAAAAAGAAAGAAGAAAAAAAACTTGAGAGAAAAGCGAGCAAGATCCATCCGACCTCGTTCCTCTTCCCCACCTCTCCAGTTTTAAAAAGAAACAAGGAAAAAAGTCCCAACTTGTGATAAATTCAAATTGATGAACTTGACCAGTTTCCCACTGGGGAAGGAAGACTGCAGCCTTGATTCCTTCCCCCCCTCCCAAATCAGTTTTTGACATGACCGAAACTCCTTTGCCAAAATAGTCTCACTGAAATTGAATTTAATGCAAACATTCCAACCTTTTTTTTTTCTTGTGCTAATTTTCATCAAAATGACATTTTTAGCCCCCGCCCCTCCAAAAAGCACAACTGTTGTGACAGCATCCCAGAACAAGGACTATACATTAAGTAGCAGCATCCATGAGGCCATCTCTTGAAGCATTTGGTGTGAACGCTGAAAAACAAAAATGCAAACGGTGTTAAGGCAACCTCCAGTGTACCTAATTTGAGTCTAGCTCTTTGGGGAATTAGACTTGCATAGGCCGTGTTCAATAAAAAGATCTGTACAGTCAAGTCAACTTTAACTGTTTGGAGCCTCTTAACTGCTGTTTCCAAATCAAGAGCAACCCCCCCAAAAAGTGGAAAAACAAGCGTTTTATTTTAGAGTTGCTCAAGCAGCATCCTTACTTGTTCCCCTTTTGGCCATTGGGTGGAAGATGGCTGCCATATGGAAGTTTACGGTGAGTTCAGTTCATGCCGGGTTTTTTTTTTTTCTCCCTGGGTCTTCATGCATTATAGTTGAGACTGCCCCCCTTCAATCAACTGCCCGCTCCACTTTGTAGTTTGTGTATTTTTTAAAGTGTTGCATTCATTTTCTATTCAGACGGTGGCCACTTTGTGTGATCTACCTCAACAAAAATGTGTGGGTGGGTGGAATGTTTGCTGTTCTTTAAGGACCAAACTTGCAGTTCAGAGATTCCACAGCCTCTTTAAACTCTGAAAACCTGCCTGGTGGGGTATCTTGTTTGGAGGTGTATGGTGTTTTTTTATTTTGTTTTGGGAAATGAAAAATAAATTGTTAACCTTTTCAGACAGAAACAGTGTATCAAAATTTTCTACATTGGATTCTGTATAGTATTTATTTTTAATGGTCTTTAAGAAAATAAAGGTGTCTCCTTTATATCAGTGGAATCTGAGTTGTTGAGTGGAAGTGTAAAAATTAATTAAATGGTCAATGTTGACCTTAGCTGGCAGACCCAAAGAGGAAACGTCACAGCTTCGCTTGGCCAATCGGGTATCGAGGTCACTCCCTGCTTTTGGCTTAAGTCAAATGTCCTCCGTGGGAAAAAAAATGTTGTGTTCCCTGAAGCTGATTGGCGGTCAACCCGGAAACTGATACGATCATTGCGGAAACGTTTACAGATGAAATAACGCGTGTGGTAATTCGTTCTAAAGGACGACAATGTTAATACATTCTGTCACAGACTGAACAAAGTGACGACCCAATTTAAGCCTGCATTTTACTAGGTGCTATTTGAAACAACCGTCTTTATTTCGCCACTCACGGGCGTCACTGTCCCGTCTTCATTCAAATGTTATCACGGGTGAGAACCAGTTCGACATTACGTTTTATAACTCTGCCAAAGGTGACAAATGTGTGAATTATGCCTACCGTTATTTCTATTCAGTAAAAATACTGCCTGCAAGATTAGTGCCGTCCGATCGGACGGTCGGGTTCTTTCTAGCTTTAAAATATGTCTAATGAATTATTCTGCAGAAAGAAAGTTGATCCACAAGGGGGCGCAAGTTCCCCGTGCAATCGCCAATGACTCCCTCAAGAGTGATGAGTGGCTTTCCCCAAATGTTTACCTTGTGCACTTGTTTGACATAAAAAGTAAGATGGCATGACGGCAAATTCTCACTTTTTTTCGTAAGGTTCGCTGCGCCCTCGTACCAATGGTGAGTAGTTCATTTTGTTTTTTGTCCTACTAAAAACTTACATCATATCTTTGCCCGTTTCTACCTTCTTTTCAGAGCACCACAAGTGCTAGCTATGAAACGAATAGTTTGACTTCGTTTTAGTCTCATTATACAGTGGTAGTTCATGTACTTTTAGTTTTATTTATTATAGTGGTAACCATTTTATTCTTATACAGTGGTAGTTTTATTTAAATCTGTCCTTATTGTACAATAGTAGTCTTTTACGTGTCTTATACTGTACATGAGTCTATTTCGTTAAATGTAGTCTTATTTCTCCTTTTAGGAATGGTGAGTACTTTTCCTTAATTTCAATCTGTCTTCTAGAACAAAACCTTTTACCTTTTACTTTAGACATTTGTAATGCCATGCTGCAACCTGCCATATGGAATAGTGAGTAATTTTACTTAATTTTAGTCTTATGATTGCTGCAATTTCCTGCATCAATCGGTAACCACCACACGAAATAAACGCACTGTCGTTCTAGGTGGCCCCCTTCTTCTTCCAGAGGCATTTTGGGAGCTACACCCCACGCACGCCCATCCCCCCTACTGGCCCATCACACACCCCCCTGTCACCCCCTGTTGGGCGCTGGGTGGGGGGGATTATGCGGAGTGGGAGGCTCGTAAAAGGTCTGCCAGGCTCTTTCTGTTGTGTGACGGATGGCTGGGAGGCTGAACGGGGCCTGCTTTGCATGAGAAGAGGAGCCAGCAGAGGGGAGAATAGAGGCCTATTCAGGGAGGCCTGTCACCCTCAAATCACCCCCCCCCCCCACACACACACACACACACTCTACTGCCCCCCTCCGCCCTTCCTCATCCATCCCTTCATCCTTTTCATCCCTCCTCCATTTCGGCCTCCATCATCACGACCATCCTTACTTATTGATTTCATCCTCACTTCATTTCTGTTCCTTCACATTTCCCCTCCTTTCCATCAACATCCCCCACCGCTGTCCCCTCAAAATCATCCGATAAGTTCCGTAACGTGGGAGTCAGGAGTCACCCTATTAACGCAAAAGCAAGTCATGTGACGCCACATCCATATTTAAGGAACCGGGAGAATTTTGTTCTTCTTTTATTGGTTTTATTTGTTTGTTTTTGCAGCATACTGTCAAGTTGCGCCACCAGGGGGCAGAAAAAGCATTCTTCACACTTTCTGGAGAGTCACAATAGTACAAACACAACATTAAATGGGTATTTCATCTTTGATTAGTTTCATGTATTTAAACATTTTCCATGTATTGTTGAGGTTTTAATATTTATATGAATTCTGAATTATTATATATAGTTAAATGTATTCGTCTTCATTGACATATTTGCACTTCCCATTTGTTCAGTCATTTGTACGGGTTATTTGTTTTTGTTGTATTTGTAATTACGTATGATTTTATCTTAGTGTATTTGCAATTATTTTACCTTGTTTATCATTTTATTTCCATTTCATATGTATTTTTCATTCGTTTGTTTGGTTTTTATCTTTGCGTGCGTTTGTGTCACGACGAGGTAAGTTGTAGTAGTGGTCATTTTTGGCAGAGGATAAAGAATATACGCGTGTGAGTTTTGTATTATATTGTGTTTCTCTATGTGTTTGGGAAATATCCATTGCTATGTTATCCGTTAGCCTGTCAATGGTGTTTTCAGTTATGAGTAAATGTTCAGATAACTGGGGCATTCTTAAGACAGTAATTCTCTTCTTTTGATATTTAGTTTTAGAGTAAAATTGAAAGTGTGTGTGCAAATGGAGAGCTGGAATTTTTGATAAATTTTTGACAATTTGCCAAACGGTGACTGCCACCATACAGCACTCGCATCATAAGCGTGAGCTCACATGTCAAAGCAAATAAATAAATTGGCCGTATGATCGCTTGTATCTCAAGGTTCCTTTGGGTATGGTGAAGATAGAATATTCTTAGATTTTTCTGTATTACAGCCCTTGCAAGAAAAAGTTCGGACATTGTTGTCTGTCCACATGCTACTTTAAAAAAATGCTTCCCTTCTGCCACCCTTGCCATCAGGTCTGTCGAAGTTGTTTTCCAGTTCAAAGAAAATCTTGTTGATGTTAGTTATGAAAGAATGACACTGTTTTTTTTTTTTTTAGTGGAACTTGTGCAACTCTCACCTCGTGTTTCCCTTATTAAGATACTGGCTCGCTCGCCTTTCGCCCTAAAACGTCTTTGAGATGCTAATAGTCGCACTCACTCCTGATTGGTCGGTTGCAGGCCGGCTGGAGAAAAGGACTGAGCGGGAGGCGAGGGGGGGTGCAAGTTGGGTTTGAATCGGGAGAGTGCGCTCGAACAACAAGTGGTTCAGAATAACAAGTTGCGGCGAAGAGAGAGACAAGTATTTTGTTTATTTATGTATTTATTTTTCTCTTCGAAGCGTTTCTGCTTAAAACAAACAGGACAAAATAAAGTGCATGTTTTTTATTTTGCCGGACTTGAAGGAAACGGCTGTCCGGTACGCTTCGAGGCTAATTAGTTAACTCGGTTCACCCGGTGCTCCCGCGCAAGTTGCGGGAACACCAGGTGGACTTTGCCGGCCAGGTGCACGGCGACCCAGAAAGAGGCGAAAATAGTTCGGCGTTGCACTCGAACCTTCAGCTTGAGCGTGGAACATGTACAGCATGATGGAACACGAGTTGAAGCCCGGCGGGCAGCCGGTGCACCACGCGGCGCAGGGGATGTCACCGGCCCCTCCGGGCAGCATGACTCCGGGCAACGGCCTGCCTCACCCGGGCTCCAAAAGCGCCCTGCAGGCCCCCGGCGGGGGCGACCCCATGGATAAGGTCAAGCGACCCATGAACGCCTTCATGGTGTGGTCCCGCGGCCAAAGGCGCAAGATGGCCCAAGAGAACCCCAAAATGCACAACTCCGAGATCAGTAAGCGTCTGGGCGCCGAGTGGAAGCTGTTGAGCGACGCCGAGAAGCGGCCGTTCATCGATGAGGCCAAGCGGCTGCGGGCCGTGCACATGAAGGAGTATCCGGACTACAAGTACAAGCCCCGGCGCAAGAGCAAACCAGCGCTCAAGAAGGACGCGGTGCAGGTGCCCAAGTACCCGCTGTCCGCCGGCAACTTACTCGTGACGCAAGGACAGGGAGCCAGCCCCAGGATGGAGAGCTACGCCTGGGGCCCCGCGGGCGGCTACCCGGGCATGCAGGGCGAGGCGCTCGGCTACACGCAGCAGCTGCACCGGTACGACCTGTCGGCCCTCCAGTACCCCCCCGCCATGACCGCCGCCCAGACTTACATGAACGGAAACAACTCGTACAGGTGAGCTCACCACCAACTTCATAATATGCACAAGGCTCTTTTGAAAGAGCGCCAATGTTGGGGAAAATGGCTTTTTGGCGCGTGATTTAAAAAAAAAAAGTTTTTAATAACACTAATAACATCACGAAATGTTAAAGTGCAAGAAAATGCCTGCATGTATTTCTTTGTTTTTATCGAAGCAAAGACTTAAACCATACATTCGTTTCAAGATATATATCAACCAAAAAAAGCTAAGACTGAAAAAACGGTCATCTAAACTCAAAGACTCATTGACATGTTTTTAATGTATACAAATACGTTTTAAAGTGACTGTTTTATATAGATGTCTTACTTTACAACATACTTTCAGTAGCATGTTATCTTTCAATCCGTTTTTTAACACTTAACATTTTTTCCTTAAAATCTTTTTTCAAATCTTCAAAAAAATAAATATCGCCTACAGTGCAAAGTCTTGAATGACGGTTAATACACATTACATGAAATAAATTCTGAGCAATCTTACATTTTTAGAGTGAAAATAAATACACTGGAGAGGCGCTCATATTCAATTTAGCACCTGTTTGGAGCCTCGATAGAGAAGCTGTCGCACCAAATATTTGTCAAGCAATTTGAAACTTTTTTTCAATAAAAATATTTTTGTTTGAATTTTTTTTTTCACTGTGTCAGTGCACATATGAGGCAAGTGTGTCCTCCTACTTGTTCTGAATGCATCACATTCATCCTGGCCCGTGTCTGGAATGTTGATCAGGAATACTAGATGCGTGCGCGTGTGTGTGTGTGTGTGTGTGTGTGTGTGTGTGTGTGTGTGTGTGTGTGTGTGGTCTGTTTACCCACAATGCCTCAGTGCTATCTCAACGCCTTACACCTAATAGACGCCTGCTATTCTCTGCAGTTGAGTAAATGTCTATTGTAACATATACAAATATTAAAAATGCATTTGTGCATAGAAAGACGTTTGCCCATAAATGCCTCATGAGTAAGGCATCAGCTGCACTCTGCAATGGAGTGAATAAATACAAAGTATTCATAATAGAAAACATGGATGTATCTTTATCGAAGGCCACCTTTGCGCAAAAAAAAACAAACAAAAACCTGTACTTGCTACAGTTGAGCAAATTCATTTATCAAGGCCGTGCCCTATATAAAAGCTCATGGTCAAAAATTGACCCAATATTTGGGTCAATTTTACCCTAACCTTCTGGATTGTTTTGAATAAAACAACCTGTTTTTTAGAAAACATCCCAAAGTTGGATCAGATTGAACTAAGTACTGTTTTGATTTTTTTGTACGCAATTGCTTGTTTTTTGAGCCAGCAGTTTTACGGGTGAACTTTCTGCAGTTGACTAAATGTTTCGAGTACTTCTTATTGGTTGAAAAATCTATTCCATATGCATACATTTTTTGTTGCTGTTTCTGCTGTAAAGTGTAATTTATATCAATTTTTAAAATGCACATTTATATGCATTTATGTTAACACTTAAAACATTTCTGCGCAAATAAAGATTCTACCCAATAAAAGTTTTGCCCTTAATATATGCTTGCGACTCTGTGTAGTAAAATGCTCATTTGTAAATCAAACAAACTGTACAAAATACGAACATGTAAAACGCCATAGACGGGCTAACAGAAATGAGCATGCTGCAGCTTTGACACATGGAGCAGCAATGCATGCAAACGGAGCATGCACACATATGTAAAATGTGAACCTTTTTTTTGTTTTGGGGGTTTTTTTTTGCTGCCGCTAACTCTTGTCACCAAAATCCCCCACAGCCCGATGTCGTACAGCAGCAGCCCCCAACAGCCCAGCCCGGTCCCCATGTCCATGGTGAAAGCGGAGCCCATGTCCCACTCGCCTCCGACACCCACCCATCACCGGGGCCCCCTGCAGGGCGACCTGCGGGACATGATCAGCATGTACATCCCGGGGGGCGGTGATGGCAACGACCCGGCGGGGGGAGCCGCTCCCAGGGGCTACGGCGGCGTCCAGCAGCACTACCTCACCGGCACCGTACCCCTAACACACATCTAGTAGAACGGCACGGGACAATCTGCACTCGCGGCCAATGCCGCTCCTTCGGGTGTATTCATTCTGCATTGTACATTGTTTTTAATACTCTTTTAGTTTTTTTTTTCTTTTTAAAAATACAAATTAGATGAGTTTGCAAATGCTGCATTTTGAGTAGCTTTACGTCACGGGCGGCGAAGCACTTTTCTCGCCCCCCCCCCCCCCCCCCCCCCTTTATTAGATTTTATGTGTAAAGATGATGTATCCTGCTAATTTTACTGTTTAACCTCACCTATGGCCCACTGAGTCGCTTTCCAAACCAGTCACACCCAACCTCGCTGGAATTTTATTTTAGAAAAGTCTCACGACACACAATCGTCACTAAATTATACATACTGAAAATAATGATCAATTTATTCGCAAATATGCTTTTCCTGTTGTACGAATGCAGATTGGTGGCAGGTTAACTGTACCTTCTGTCATCTAGTGGAAGAGCATAGAATTCTTCATGACGTGACTTTTTTTCCACGCAAGTGAAATTTGATCACTTGGTTGTGAATCATTGTTGTAAACAGAACAAGCATGTTTTTTTTAAAAAGTTAGTTCCCCTCAAACCAGTGGCTACCATAAACGCATGCATGCTTGTATATACTGTACAGTACGTAGATGCTGCTATGGACCTATTTGGTTTACATCTCCATCCATTACTAATGATATACTGTACATATTTTTTTTTAAATTTCATGTGTGAATGTTTACATTTTAACATTTTTTTTATCCTTTCTGTAGAAGCCACTCTGCAGTTTAGTTATTGTATCTAGAACTCTTGTAAATAATGTACACATTTTCGACTCTTATACTAAGAGTCTTAATGCTTTTTTTGATTAAAAAAAATCTTTATGGCTTTCATGACTATTAATAAAAAGTAAAAGTCACTGTGTCTTCATTCATATACCTATTTATATGTACATAGGAATATTAGTGTGGCTTGGTATGTTTACATGTAGTCTGGAGCAAAGCATTTAGTGAAAATAGCAACGTTTTTGAAAACTGGAGAGAGGCATTTTTAGTAACAACCATATGTAGCAAGAGCATTTTTTAAAGTGTTGGGTGGTAAGGGATTTAAAAAAACGTGATGTAAGGTGTTTTACAACAAATTATGTAGTTACAACAATTAGGTAACTAAAAGAGTTATGAGTTACGAAGGATTAAGATGAAATTCTAAGGAAAGGTCATAGTTTACATGGTCTTATGTGAGATACAATACAATACTATAATAATAGGATACTTAAAAAAGCCTGACGAAACGTTTTTTTTTCTCCTTTTAAGCCTTTATGGGGGCGTCTTATTTTTTTGTAAAAGCTCTGCACCACGGCTGTCCATGTCACTCGCCACAAGACGGCGCCAACCTCCACCGGAAGCTGAAGGGCGCTGCGGAGATCAATTACTTCCTGGTCACGCCCATTCCCGGAAGTGGCGCCGTTTTTGAACTGGAGTGAGGCTAGAGCAGTGCTTCCGAACCCAACCAGTTCATATGCACATTCACCGAACCCTTCATTAGTGGGAAAAAAAAAATCACCAAACCCCTGGGGTTCGATCGAACCCAGGTTAAGAAACACTGGGCTAGAGTGTGTGAAGTCAATGTGAATAAATGTGCTGTTTGGACTCGGTTTGCTTTCATTTACAGTGTCAGGCCTCAACATGATTGGGACCCAGTCAATGGAGTGGGATTGGACACAGGCAGCAAGATGGCGAGCAAATGGACTGCCTTTTCTCAGGCAAGCAAGCACATTAACTAGATTTGCAAATGTAATTTTTTTGTATATGATGTTCAAAGTTGCATTGTGTTTCTTGTGGGGTTTTCATTCACACACACACACACACACACACACACACACACACACTAAATAAATACACTAAATATTAATGTGAAATGATTTTAATATTGTTCACGCTTCTGCTTCAGTGATACTGTCTGTTGACTTTTATTTCTAATTCTTTTCAATATTGTAGTTCGTGTTTACAGTCAAGGCCAATTGTTACTTTTTGTTTTTTTTGTACCACCCAAAAAATAAATGAATTCATCTGTGGTATTGGAATAATTTGAACATATTTGTTGTTTCCAATCATACTATTCACGTGGAGGCACGACTCTGTTCTGTTCTGGGGCTGCTTTGCTCCATCTGGCAATCTGCAGGATACAAGAGTTCTCAATGGTTGTGCAAGAAAATAGCAAGTTGATTTATGGTTCAAAAAAAAAAATCTTTCTGTACAACCACAATTCAAAAGCAATGTCTGATTTTCATTGGTTAAATTTCAATTAAATACAGATTCAAGTTATTTCCGTGACCGCTGTGGGTTTTTCTTTCCCTAATTGAGGGGTAACAACAATTTTGACCACGTGTGCGTGTCGTGTCACTTTAAACATGACGTCATGCCGATACATCGAGGATGACGTATCAGTCATTGGCTTGGCTGCATGGGAACATGTCGGTGAGTTGGGGTGAAGGGGGCGGGGGCGATGATTGAAAGCTTTACTTTCTTATCTTTGTCCTCTTTAAAATTCACTTTCTCCCCCAACCAACACACACACACACACACACACACACACACACACACACACACACACACACACACACACACACACACACACACACACACACACACAACGTGGTGGATGTCCCGCGCGTAATTGGCCGTTTCGGAGGCGCATTGTCCGCCGCCTTTCAGCACGCAGGTGCATATAGTAAAGCCGCAGTCTCCGCTCCTCCCTCGGGCGTCTTTGTTCCCATCTCCCGGCCCCCCCACTGTGCAGAAAATGAGTGCTGCTTTCTGCTTTGCTTGGTCCTCACAGGCTTAACCCTTTCACCGACCGCCGCCTTTCTCATGGAAATGGGCAAGAACCCTTGCACCAGCTAATCGGTCGGCGAGGGGAGGGGATGGAGGTCGGAAAGAGTGGGAGGGATGGGGGGTGGGGGGGGGGGTTTGGGGCTTCCATAATCAATTTAAGATTTACCAGGCAAAAGTGTTCCACACTTCCCCGGTGCAGTTTGTCATTTTGAAAGATGAGCAAAAGTTTCTTAAAATGTTTTTAGTGGGTTTTGAGTGGTAAACTTTTTTTTTTTTTTTTTTTTGTAAATAGCTGTGTAAAAGGTGAAGAAAGCACATACTTTGTGGATACATGCCCCCTCCCGGTGCGTTGACGAAAACTTCGAAGTCAGACGATTCCAAATTCTTACAAAGAAGAGTGTGTATGAATCTGACTCCAAAAATAAAATGACATAATTTCACTGCTGATCCCACTAAGTAAATCTGACTCAATTTACTGGTGTGTTTGTGACAATTGAGAAGTCTGAGATTTTCCACTTTTTACTCCTTTTTACACTCGTCCGACATGTAGAAATGTTCTGGTATATGTTGGAGGCTGGAATTAATTAGAAATCATGTCAAATTAATGATAAATGGCAGTGTTGTTTTGGCTGGAGCCCATGGGGGTGGTGGGGGGGGCGGGTCGG